ATTGGATCAACTCTAGCGGCAAAGGTGCTCCAAAGTCTAATGTCGAAGTTGCTCCTACCCCAGCCCCGCCGCCACCATCAATGGAGCTGGGCGAAAAAGGAGTTGTGACCTTCACTGAAATATTTGATCAACGACGAAAGTCGTACGACGACCACGAGCCATAGTCCTATTCTTGTTCTGGTCATGGAATGGCTGGGCAACGTTCCTGAGGAGAACGCACCTACATGTAGCCACCGGACCTCTTTATGAAAACGGCCTTGTATCGAACATATGATTCCCCCCCATGGATAAGCGTATTGTTTTTATCAAATCTCGGTGGCTCTGGTTGGAAAAGCATTGCATGAAGTTTTTGGTCGCCGTCTACTGCATGTAACTAAGTTTCTAGCGTATGCACGATTCCATGTTGTTGCATCAATCAACATAATAGCGCAAGAGATTTACTTCCGAAACACATATCATCAAATACATACTCAAATGAAAGTGATGCCTCTGCCTATGGTTGCACAATAGTCTGCATTGTCCTTTGCACCAAAGCGCTGCCCCTCTTATTACTAGGTTGCAAAAGTTCGGTCTCAGGGTCGTCATTTAGGCAGCAACCGCTTACGTGTCGTTTGATAGGCGACGTGGAATTTCCTTGCAATTTACACCCTTTTGTTGTAGACATTACAATGACCAACTTGTTCAAGAGGGTTATCAATCAGTTTAGGTGCCTGAAGTGCCAAGTAGGAGAGGACGAATCCAACGTCGTCAATTAGGCCACCATGACTGGGGAGTCTAAGATGCTTTGAAGGCAGCAGTATAAAACCCGGTATCATCGGCAAGACTAGGTTGCTGCGTTCGCACCTTCATATCTGATGCACTACATAAAACTTACTTTAAGCATGCCGCCGGCAACTCTGGGCTGAGTGCAAGTAGCACACTGTGACTGCCCCCAGGGTTCCCCGCCGCCAAGAACACCTCGGTCTTGATACCTGGAGGCGAGGCCGTGTATTCTGCCCGACGAGCAACCGAGTTATCCCCAAAACAATGTCTCACACCCTCTACACCACCGCTGCCATGGTATCTTGTACTGCCGTGGTTTTACTCTCCGCGCAGTTGTTTTCCAGAGCCGAGTCGCCTCGTCGGCCGGCAGTGACCTTGCCGTCCGAAGCATTCTCGTTAGCACTGGAAGCTGGACATAGCCAAAAACGTTGTCGATGCTTAGAAAGACGAGCAGAACACCAACTTCGTAAAGCACTAAGACGTGAAGAGCGCCTCGTCACCGCATTCAACGACGCAGGGCGACTACTCCTCAATCGCCGTACAGCTTTTGGTGTGGGTCATGGGACCACAGTATACGGATACCCGAGCACCGGCGGATGTTATACACTGAAGTGCGATGCCGTGGAACTCGACTACTTGGGCCTGAGCCGCTCTGAGCCCACGCTCAGGTCAGGAGATTTGGAAGAGGAGGATGCGCACTGCGCAAGGATGATGAAGCTTGGGCCAAACTGGTGGAAGAGCCTGACGCATTATCTAGTCAACCAATCCTTTGGAGATTCCACGTGGGAAGATGCTGTTGTCATTGCCGGCTATCCAGCGGCGGGCGGTCTCTGGCTGCTGAAGACCACCAAGGCAGAGGCAGCTGACGCTGGAGCTGCCAGAATCCACAATGCGAAGGACATGGAGGAACGATGCCAGATGATCGAACGTTGCGGCGGGAGATTTTACGAAGAAATCGACGAGGTTCCAGAGCTCGTTGTTAGGATACTGGGCATATACTAGATGTAGGGCCGTACGGTGAATGGCAGATGTTGTATCAAGCGGCACGGTAGTATGCGATGAACGCAGTAGGAGGCTCGCCAATCTGCGTTATTTGAGTTTGGCCTATCCATTTGCCTGTTTTGAGAAATTGAGTTTTGTGGTTGAGACACATGGCGGCTTGTCAAGCAGATATCCCCCGACCGTGTGACCATAATCTTTCCTGCTGATTTAGTAGCTGCCACTGGCTAGATAGACTCCCAGGGCATTGAACATGCACTGGTAAAGTACCCGTCCGGTGAAGGGGTCAACAGCATCTCAATTCCAGTCCCAAGGGCTTTGCCTGCTGCACATGTGCAACCCGTGTGTAAAGCTCAAAACACACTGTGATGACATAGAAAGCTCTGTGCAATACAATGACCAAGCTCTATTTTTATCAACCAACTACTGCGACATACTTGTTGTCATTGTTGTCGGGAGTTTGAATGACTAAGCAGCAATCAACAGACCCTACCATGCTTCTGGGCCAGGCTGCAGGCATAGGTAAGTAATTTGCTATCCAGGCAGCCAACAGGGCGTGAGTTGACTGCATTTCTCGGCGAAACAGGCATCAGTCGGCGGTTTGATAGAAAACCAGGGAAGTGACCGACTCGCCCTCACTGATTAGAGTTTCAATTTCCCGAGATAACTTGCGGCCTCTGGAGTACCATTCGCGTAAAATGACCTTCAATGTTTTTACTGCCCCTCTACAAATATTGCTCAGACCGTCCCAAGTTAGGTTTGAGATGCCACCTATCCAAACAGGTGTGTTATACTCCATATCAATTGCATCTTATTTCTATATTACTGTCAGGTTTGTAGCCTGGGCTGTCGAGTATTACCGAATGATGACGATCATACCATCTTCAGGCAGCTACGACGATGACGATGGCGGTGATTGTTCTCGCTGTTCCTATTGCCGCGGCTACAAGGACACGACAACACCAGAAAAGAAGTACAGAACCTCATTTGGGCTAAGATCCGGCACAGCGGTGCGTGGATGGCCAAGCCACGGTGGGATCTTCTTCCTAGACGACTGCGTTGGTGTAGACCTCGAATACCTCCAGCTCGACCGTTTCGAACCCACATTAAAATCAGAAGACCAGGCGGAGGAAGATGCGCACTGCTTGAGAATGCGCATGCTCGGCGCGGTGTGGTTCGACAGCGAGTACCCCCACGAATTAGAAGATTATTCAAGCCTTGGCGACTACCCGATAATGTCTCGACGAAGCGATCATGTCATTGCCGGTCACCCAGCCACGGGCGGCGCTTGGGTTCTCCGGATCTTTGAGGAGGACGGTCGGCGACTGGGAGTTGGTCGGATAAAGAATGCTAAAGACATGGAAGAGCGGTGCAGGGTCATTCAAAAGCTTGGTGGGGTGTTTTACAAAGACCCATTCGAGTCACCCGAACTGGATCTTCGACATGAGTTTCCAGACCCGAGGAGAAAAGGGACTGTGGTGCACCACATGATACGCCAAACGGTCCCAGATAAGTTGGAATTGGAAATACGACAAAAACCACAAGAAGTCAAAGTAGACTACAATGATTGAGTTGCAGTTTCATTTGGGATTTCTTCTCTGCACCAGATATTCGGGCCATTAACACGTGAACTGGGAGGCAGAAAAGTCAAGACTCGGCCCTCCCGGAGCACAGGCTATCTTGCCAAGCAACCAGTTCAACTGGGCGTTTCTGGCCGCCGTAAAAGGACCGATGGTCGATCTATGGGTACATAACATAAGCTTACAACTGACTTGATTTCTTTTGCAGCGGAGAAGGTGGCAACTAGAAAAACTGCTCGTAAAACATGTGCTGTTCTTGAGGCGGTTGGGAGTGAAATGCCACTCGCCTGTGGAGGGAGGGAGCGAGAGTCTGAACTTTGGCGGGGTAAACGAATTTCTACTCGGCCGCATTTCATCCACCTGGATTGGCTAGAGCCTGTATGACAGGAACGCAAACTGTCGCATCGGCAATTGCTTTGCATCTATCAACTCTCCTATTAACTTACCGCCTGGTGCTGACTTAAGAGGTTAGAATTTCCGATGCAGCTCCCAAAGCTTCCAGCAAAAGTCGCGTACATCCATCTTCGAAACCCAGCAAGGCGCAATGCCCTGAGTCTGGAGATACTCGAAGATCTCCGCACGCAGCTCCTCGCGCACCTTACGTCACCATCATCCGGCAGACTTCTAACGCTCCCTTCCTTTAGACCCTTGATCTTGCGGGAGCTTGAGAAGGCAGGCTCCGCGTCTGACTCGGGCGACAGGTGCTCGTCAGGGTACAGCTGGCTCGTCGATGCCGCAGAATGGAACCGAGAGCGAGCCGGGCTCCCGAACGTCCTCGTCCTCCGGAGCAGCCCGGGGCCAGTCTTCTCATCAGGCCACGACCTCAAACAACTGGCCTCGCTCTCGCGTGTCGAGGTGAAGCGCACATTTGCCCTCTGCGCCGAAGTCATGTCTCTCATTCGCCAGAGTCCGGCGCCCGTCATTTGTCCCATCCATGGCCTCGCAACGGCCGCCGGGCTCCAACTCGCGTTGTCGACAGATTATCCCGTCGCCCTTTCCACCACAAAGTTCCAGCTGCCCGGCGCGAGCATAGGACTACCGTGCACGAGCCCAGTGACGGCCGTGTCTCGGCGCCTGCCACCGGGCCAAGCTTACCGGCTTCTTCTCACCGCCGAAGCGGTCGCCGCTGACGAGATGCGGGGTGCCGTCGATGTAGTACCGACACCCGAGCACGCAGAGTCCACGGACACGGCGGCTGCCGCCTTCGAGGGGCGCGTTGCGGAGGTGGTGGAGAGACTTGCGGGGTCAGCGGGTCAGCCGATGGCCCTCGGTAAATGGGCCTTTTGGACACAGCTCGGCATCAAAGGTGACGATGTTGAGGAAAGAGGAGGTGATGGTTACGAGGACGCTGCGAGCTGGGCCGGACGAGTCATGGCACTTCATGCGAGGAGTGCTGACGCCCAAGAAGGGATTGCATCCTTCATTGAGAAACGCAAACCGCAATGGCAGACTTGAAGAAACTGTTGACTAGCCGGACCGGACAAGCTACCAATATTGGGCCGCAGTCTGCAGAGACGGCTCCGCCCCGGTTCACTTTACGGGACGACCCCACCCGGGACCGCCGGAACCCACTAAATGAGAAAATTCTGTTTGAAAATCTCGATGTCTACATGACAGGCAACAAAAAAACCTGACCACTCACTTCCAAATGCAAAAGACTGACCAACGTGGGGCTCGAACCCACAACCCCCAGATGACTATATCTCATGGATGAGAAAGTAGAAGTCTGATGCGCTACCATTGCGCCAGCCGGCCGGTATCCACGATCTGAACCGATGGGAGGTCGAGTTCCGGTGGAGTTGTTGATCTCGCGCTGCAAAGAGACCTAAGTTTGACCAACTTCACGGTTTCGAGCCTCGCCATCCCACAACTTCATCATTTGAGTACCAGAACACACTTAATTAAGTCTTCGAACTTCAAAATTCCCTAATTTCTGCGTCGATTTTGCAGTCGACACACCCAATGATATGATTTAGTAGTTTAACTGAGACAAACATACATAGCATATAGGCACTACTTCGACCTATGGATTCGACCCGACTACATCCCTAAGCATAATGGGCTGTGTATGCTTGCCCTCATCAAAAGTCTGCCTCCCGATTTCCCTAAAGCCGTATTTTCTATACAAAATAGCCCCCGCGTTACTAGCTTCTAGAACCGTAGGCACGGTTTCTTCTTCGCTACGGTCAAGCCCCCATTGAATCAGTCCCCTCCCAACACCGCGACCTCGGGCGTCCGGAGACACGCCAAGCCAACAAAGACGCCATCGTTCGGTCGGATACATGTTTTGGGCTTTGTTCAGCTGACCCATCAACTCCCTGACCTTACTGGCCGGCAAAGACCCAACCAAGAGCCGATACCAGTATTCCAAAACAACCTGCAGCATCATGAGACCTGGAAGCAAAAGTTAGTGGATTCGATATTTCTGCCGTTCAATGACTGAGCTACGGCTAACATTTGCGCAGGCTGTTGACCTGCCACGACTTTGCTTTCGTGGATGTGCCATGTCGTTGCCAAATGCCGAGGCCAACATACTGTCCCTCGCCGGCCTCGGACACGTCCCGAGCGACGGTTATCACGGTACCAGCCTTTGCCATCTCATATCTGAGAATGAGTCGCCATATCACACGAACGTTCTCAATCCTGTTGTCGTGATGCTTGGTGAACAGCATTGAGAAAGCTGGATCATCAACCCAAATGCGGCATGCAAGTTCGATTAGCTGGTCTAGTTGGTTGGATGAGACATCTCGGAGAACGGTCGTGGAGATCATTTCATAAAGTATTAGCCAGAGCGATCAAAGGTCGAAAGGAGAGAGTGAGCTGAACTGTCTTCATACAATAACCCACATACGTATGCGGGACTGAATATGTCGGTGAGGGGAACCTGCCTATGCAATATTTGTGTGTGGCCTGGTTTCTTGGCCCTGATATGACCTGCTTAGCTTATCAACCACGATGGGGCAGTGGATTGGTGGTTCATGTCGCGGAGGATCTTTTCAATGACACTCAACCAAAGTCCTTTCTGTTTGGACTCATTGGGGTGAATGAAGCCCGCTGCATACTAGTGGCTCGCAGTAAGCGCATAATTGCCATGTGCAAGCAGGGTCTTCCTCCCCAGTTACTCGAAGGATCGCAGAAATTAGAGGCTGTTTCCTGGAACTTACAACTTTTCCAAAGTTTGAGTCGTTTCCAAGGTTGTTGATAACCACGGCAACCTCAAAGAAATGTTGAATGAGGCTGTATTCATATGGAAGGCAGACTGTGAAGTTTTAGGCATCGAAATTATGCTTCCTTCGTCTGGCCTAGACCACCTCACCTCAGTGCCGTGCTGAAACGCAAAAGAAATGGTCTTGGGCATCTCATTCCTTGAAGGAGCGCCGTAGTCAATGCGACCAGCCAAATTAGTGCGACACTGATCAACGCCATCGCCGCCACAGACCTTGAAATGAAATTAGGTTGTAAATCCGTGAGATCCTCAATGAACACATGGTGCTATTGTTTGACCTTCATGAGCATGCCTGCTCTTCCTCAGCTGGTGTATAATATCTTCAGCCTTTGGCATATTGGTTGACTCAATCGAGCTCATATTCTTCGGAGTTTCATTTCTCGCAATCTTCTTTTGATCTCGGTTGACTTTCTTTTCCAATTCACACTCATTCATCCTTAAAAATGTTTTATAGCGCGGGATTCGTCGCTTCAATTCTTCCTCTCGTCGCAGCGCGCGTGATTGAGGACACCTCTTTGGCAGGTCGAGCAACCTATCCATTCAACAACCTCGTAGTCTACGGCGATGAACTGAGTGACAACGGCAACGGCTCTTTCGCGCACGGCATCACCGGCGACCCAGCCAATGTCTACGGCTTCGGAACATGGACTAACGGCCCGGTCGCCGTGTCCTACCTCTCCGACCTCCTCCGGGTTCCGCTGACAGACTATGCATTCGGCGGGTGCTGCGGTGGAGGCGATTTCGGGGCGACATTTGACAACACCTACACCAAGTCCAAGGCCGGGGCGACGGACATGATCGGTCAAGTTGCCAACTATACAGGTCGTGGCGCCCCGGGTGTTCGCTCCTCACTGCAGTTCCTCTGGTTCGGCGAGAACGATCTCAGCATGCATACTGACGCGTTCTGGTTGGGCGATCCAAAGAACGCGCAGTTCGCAACCGACGCGGCAGCCAAGATCACCGCACAGGTCAAGACCCTCATTGACAAGGGAGCACCCTACGTTATGGTCGCCAACATCTACCCAAAGCATCTCGCCCCGGTGACACCGAAATACCTCTGCGGTACCAATGCCGACTGCGTCAAGACCTGGGGCCAGGTAATCCAGCAAGCAAACTCGGCTATACAGAAGAGCCTCGGGCAGTTTGGCAAGAAGGTCATTTATTATGACGTATTCAGCTTCATGCTTCAAATATTGGCGAATCCCAAGGCATTTGGCTTCCCAAAGCCTCTCAACCTCTTTTGTGACGGAGACGAGACGGCTCAGTGGACGGATTGCATGATTGACGGGCACGCAAATGAGTACTTCTGGATGAACTTCATTCAACCAACGACTGCTGGACATAAATTGATTGCTCAGGATATGAAGAAGACCATCGATGCGCACTTCGCATGAAGACGGTGCCAACAAAGACTGTGATATAGCCGTTTCCACATGCAATGGCACCAGAAGCTTGCTGGTACCCGAACACATTTCATTCTCTTGTACATAGCCCTTTATTGTTTTCATCGTGCACATACTTGAGACTCCAATTTATATTTGATCCGCATTTTGCTGAGCATCGACTACCAACACTTAAAGTCATGACGTCGGAGTACATTTATGAGTTGATATCACTGCGAAAACGACTTCCAATTTGTTGAAAATACCAATGAGATACGCAGCAACACACCACACACTCATAAATCAAGGTCGCTGAACGTCCTCAATATCGATGCCTTCGGTGATCTTCATGACCTTTCTCACGTCATCAAAGTTTACCGCTCTTCCGTCTTTCTTGGCCACAATACCAGCCGTCTTCACAATGTTCCGAATGCGCCGGCCATTCACATTGATGCTAGACAGGCACTCAAACTCACTCTTTGACATGGTTGAATTGTTCTTCTCCAAGAACGTCTGCCAAATCTTCAAACGGGAGGGTTCGTCTAATGCTGGGTAGTTGATATTGAGATGGACACGGGAGTAGATGGCAGGGTCAAGAGACCTCTCACGGTTTGTCGTCAGGAAGAGGAGAGATGGGTAGTACTCGAGTTCTTTCAAGAAGCCTTTACGGATTTTGGTCTCGGTCAGATGAGGACAAAGGCGTAATGTCAGGGCTACTTACGAGACACCATCCTGTTTCGTTTGGTTGAAGCATCACTGCGCTTCTCCAAGTACATATCACACTCGTCAATCAGTAGAACGGCTCCCCAGCGAGCAGCAAGTTCAAATGCAGTTGTGAAGCTCATTGAACGTTCAGGATCACGAGGACGCGGACTCAATGATCGGTTTCGGTCATCATAGCGAACTGGGACTGCGTCATTGTCGCGATCGTCCTCATGATAATCTCCCAGCTCCATCTTGAATAGCGGAGCTTGGATCTTCTCGGCGACTATCACCGAAGTAAGCTTCATGTTTGATCTCCAAAGATATCCAAAAAGGAATGAAAAAGATCGGGGACCGTACCAGACTCGGCAGTAAGAGTCTTGCCAACACCAGGGTCGCCGGCAAGCAAGGCTACGAGCCCACCACCTATAAAATGTTAGCGATGTACCTTAAACACGTATCAGTGACCTACTACGACTAACCTTTGCCGTTGATCACATCGTCGAATGCAACCTTGTCCTTGATTTGACTCTCAACAAAAGCCAGTATGAGATCCTTGTATCCCTCCGGCAGCACCAGACTCTCGAAGGGTTTCGTGTTCCATTCGATATCATGGATTCGGTCTACTTCAAAGCTTTCTATTACGAATGGTTAATAGGTGCTTCAAATGTTTGACAGTGTACTAATAGTATTCTATCAGATACTTACTCCAAATCTTCTCCTTGAGATCAAATCCATCGACCTCGGGGTCCATGAGCTGTAGATAAAACTCTGTCAGGTATTTCCTGGAATTCTCCTCTATTTCCTCATTGCGTAGCCCTGCAACTTGTGTTAGACTGATGTATATCGGTGTTCGGGGGGGAAGAGGGGGGGGGGGGGGGTTTCTTACTGAATTCCGGTGAGATGCTCCGGCGCCTTCGAACAGTCTCGATCACAACGGGGGATCTTCGTCTGGGTGCGACAGGTGGATAGTACGGGGAAACTCGTCGAGGTACAGGGTGACGCATAGGTCGACGACCGCCTCTCGGTCTCTCGTCCCATTCATCAATGTACTCTTCCAGAGGGATGTGTATGCCATTCGGGGGAGCGGAGTCTACCGGCGACTGATTGATGAGGTCGGTGTACTGGCTAAAAAGCGGCTGAATCCTCTCTCTACGTCCATCATTGACGTATGCTGAGAGATATACTCTTCTGTGACTAGGATCGATCATCACCCGAAGCTCGGATTTCGGATCCTGCCCCGCTGGATGGTATGCCTTGTAATGAGTGCCAGCCAGACTCGCGTACTTGCGGCCCCTCTCTATCAGCTTTTCTTGCATTCCAGAGAAGTCGCGAAGATACTTGGCGGGAAAAGCAGGCAGGCTGTCGATTGAGCGAGTCCCTAGGAAATTGTCGATGGGGATATCCTCGTGGACTGTACCGAACTCCATAGCTGGGAACCCCCAGGCAATATAGGAAAGACTTAGGTCGATCGCAATGTCTCTCGAGGAGCATGATCGAAGGATATAGAACCGGTCGTGACTGTCGTCAGCCGAGTAGATCAGCTCTCCGGGCGCAAACAAGATCCATAGGTAGTTGAATGTGATGACTCCGTGGCTGACGAGTTCCTTGTTGACAGCAAACGCCCCTGCCAGTTCGCGCTTGACCAATCCCCTCAGAATGGCCAAGATCTTCTTCACGGTCTCGTTCTCCTCCTCTGTCACAGCTTTTTCGAAGCGATCCCAGCGCCAGAAGAACTGGTGGAAGGGGGCCAAGAATGTGAGATATTTCACTCGCTGGACGATGTTGTCGTAAGGCTGAAAGACGTCGATCAAAACCTTACGCGTGGCTGCATGTCGAATCTCAATCGAGTGAATGGAGATGATTGTGCCGGTACGGCCGGCGTTTACTCGGCGTCGGATAATTAGAGGGCTGCCGCTGTCATCATCGTCGTCTTTATCGACTTCCGTTAGATCAACGCCGTGGGGACATTCATCCATCCAGTTGATGCAACATTGGCACTTCTTCGGGCCTTCGTAGAGATCCTGGATGATCTCTTTGCGGTCCTCCTGGCTGATTTGAACATCTTCCTCGATGCGAATAGCATCAGCTAAGCGTTCGATGACCGAGAAGTCATCATCACCCTTCAACGCCTCGTTGATCATGGATTCTGCAGACATCCTGAGTCGACAAATAATGCTGCGATGGGTTTAACAAAGGTCTGATGTCTCCGTGTCCGAAGGATAGGATCACTGACAATGACGAGGGTTACCGAGAAAAACGGTTGACATGCTGAAAGTGCCGTGATGGGGCAAGATAAAATAGGCCAAGAACCACCAGAGGCCATCTCCGTGCTACCTCAAGCCGGCTGTTGCCTGTCAGCGTGCACTCGACTGGCAGCCAAACTTTCTCGAGTTGTAGGGCTGTGAGACGCTATCTAGGCAGAATATGCAGACATTCGGACATGGCCAGCCAATCATTCGTGATGGGGAGGTTGTACCCCAAGAAAATGTGCAGATGAATAAGCACTAGCCCTGGTCTGCATACCACTAGACCGGGTCTCATCAAGGCAGATTTTGAGGCTGACATGTCTGGTATGTCCGATTCACAGCATGTCATGCGGGGTCCTTTTCAAAGGGCTCTCTGGCATAGAATCAATCTGAATTTGGATCATCTGTGGAACAAGTTCCGTATAGCATGATTTACTTTACTCTGCACTTAGTTCCTCTCCTCCCAAGAGTACACCAGACTTGGATTGACGTGAAACAACGAGGCAACATCTGAGCAAACCAACTTTCCCTGGGCTCGTCGGTGAACTTGGTTGTATACAGAGTCCCTCGACCAGGTGAGTCATGATTCTTTCAATGGTGCTCGGTCGAAGCAGCGTCGATCTCCTTTTTTTCTAAGTCATCAGACTTGGAGAACCCCCCACCAGGTGAGGCGCGGTTCAGCACTGCACTCAAGCCGATTTCGTTGTTGATCTCTTCCATTCTCTCGAAATCAGCAGCGGCGGTGCCTTCAGAGCCAAATACAAGGTCCTAGATTCAAGGTCAGCTGATGTCGATGGTTGTCCAAAACATTGGTAATTTGGAGGCGAAGATATCAGTATGGCTTGTGACGTAGACATACCATTTCTTCCAAAGAAAGACGCTTCGTTTCGGGGACTATGAACCAGATAAATGCGGCACCAATGTAGGTCAATAGGCCAAACAAGATGTATGTGCCATAATTGATGCTTGTTAGCATGTCTGGGGTGACTTGTCCCACGATGAAGTTGTTCCTAAAGATTGTCAGTGGTTGGTGGGGTTGTCTACTTTAGGTAATAGTGATTTGAAACTCACATCCAGTTGCTGGAAGCTCCGAGAGATACGCCATACGGCCGAGTGCTCAGGGGCCAAACTTCAGCGATGATAATCCAAGCACAAGGGCCCCAAGAGTCTAGAATTTGTCCATTAGTGTTCTCTTCCACCAGAAGGTGCAGACTGGAGGGACTCACATCCGAAGTGGACCACAAACAGCCATACCATACACACCGCAGCCCAACTGAAGTAAGACGATTAGTACAGTCATTCAGCCAGTGCCAAAGGATAGCAGATAACGCACCCAGCGGCTGGTTGTTGATCAAACCTGTCGATGTTCTTGGCTAGAATGACAGCTATGATGAGATGGCAGGTTCCCATGCCAATAGCACCAATGCTGAGGACAGGCTTTCGGCCGACACGATCAATCCATAGTACGGCAGGAATGGTTGCAATAAACATAACGACACCAACGACACCGGTGGCAAGCAAGCTCGTGGTTGTTTGACTCAGGCCCAGTTGGCTAAAGATCTGAGGAGCATAATAGAGAACCTGGACGTTTTGTCAATTAAGATTATCGCAGATAGAGTCTCGCCGGCAGGACTTACGGCGTTGATACCTGTCCATTGTTGGAAGAACTGTGTATTGTCAGCAATCCTTCATGTTTCATGCAACCTAATACGAAGTGTGTATATGTGATCGAACTCACCATAGTCACAGTAGCGACAATGACCCTCTTGAACATGGCTTTGGTCTGGAAAAGAGCCTTAATAGCGACGAACTGCAACTTGAAAATGTTCCAAGCAGTCTGCTCCTTCAGATGAGGGAAGTGCTCAGCTGTGCTTCGCTTCTCGAACAGCGACTGGGCCTTGATCTCGAGGAACTCCAACTCGATCAGCTCGTGGTTCTCGGGGAGGTCTCGGAGATCGGCGAGGATCTTCCTAGCTTCCTGCTCCCGGCCATGATGAATGAGCCAACGCGGGGAGAATGGCATCCAAATCATTCCCACGAAGAGAATAACAGCGGGGCCCAATTGCAGGCAGATCGGAACGAGCCAAGCGGCATCTGACTGTGTGTCTTCGGTGGTGCCGCCAATGTAGTTACATCCGCTGTGAAAAGTCATGTCTGTCAGAACTTGCGCAGAATTGACATAAGATGTCAATGTAAGTGAGGGGCATACTAGTCCTGCTAATGGTCAGATATCTTGACGGAGGTAATGGGTACGAAAGGGCAAGGAGCTTACAATCCAAAAGCTGATCATGATGCCAAAAGTGATGGCTAGTTGCTGTAGAGCTACAAGAGCACCTCGAACCTCACTGTTGAAAACCTACTGTCAGGGAAGAAACAATGTTGATGTTGCATTTGACTCACGGTGGTGCACACTCTGAATTGTAAAGTGGGACGATCATGGAAAGACTTCCAACACCCATACCACTGTTCTTCACATCAGCGCTGAAAGGCAAGTTTATGAGAAAGACTAGCAGATGACAACTTACGTGACGAATCTTCCCCCAAGGATTGCCTCATGGCCACCAGAAATGGAAGAAATTTGGACAATAACACCGAGCATGAAAACACCAGTCGCAATAAGTACACCGTATTTACGGGAGCAAACTTCAGCAATGAAGCCGGATAAGATAGCACCGACCCAGGCGCCAAGCTCAAGGATTGATGTCAGCCAGCCTTTTTGGGTTGGGTTCTTAGTGTATCCGTCCATATCTGAGCCGAAAGCATGTGTAAGCTGGTCGAAATCCCCAATGATGGCGGTGACATCTAGGATTAAAAGGGCAGGGGAATCTCACGCTTTTCGAACGATGGCATAGCGAGAATACCGGAAAACATGCCCTAGTCGGGAGTAAGTAACTCATATCTACTAGGTTTCTGCGATTCTAAACCCAATATAAACAGCCTTCCTTACCTGGTTATAGCCGTACAAGACACCGCCAATGCAGGCGAAGGCGGCGATGCGGGCGACTTTCCAATTCTTCACAAGAGCCCTTGCACCACTAGCCCCCATCAATGCCTGGCGTCTTTGTAAAGCAGCATCATAAGCCGCATTGCCAGATGAGTGACCTCCCATGATCGTTGGTATGCTGTCCTTCTTGCACGTGATAAGACACGAAGGTTTGGGGCCTGGGGCAGCAGATGCTCGATGCCGTTTGGTTGACAGCGTTGCTGAGTAAAGTCAACGTCTTAGGTCACAGTCAGATGAAGTGGTGGAACTGGGTCTGTGGTTCGATGGGACCGTCGCCTCTTTTATTGTCCTGTGAGAGAACCTGGAGGCACAGCTGCAGGGTGTGAGCATTGCAGAATCTGGTACGATGATCTTCCTCGTTCCTTCATGTCGGGTTTCCACGCGAGTGACCCACGCTACCGCCGGTGGGAGTGCAAACCAATGCAGATACGAATACTCTCAGCAAAGAAAGCCACATCCTCATTGAGCTTGCTTGCCTGTCGTATGAAACAGCTCTCGGTCGAATGTGACAACGCGCCGAGCCTGAAGACCCTGCACGATACCCCGCGTGAGACTGGCCATGAGACGACAAAAAGCTAGCGCGATCAAATCATGAAAGCCGGCAATAGCAATTTAGCCTAAAGGCGTTGAGGGTGTAACCGTCTTTTGCCAGTCTGGAGGAGGATGCCGGCGCTTATCCCCGGCGCCGCCACGCATGGGGATTGGATGGATGCGTTGACCTTACGCTGCGGTGACAAGGGTTCGCTCACACGCTTTCATCTTACAGGTTGGATGGTTCCGATCCATTCTACCCCATTTACCGGCCGAATCCCGTACGTTTTTGACCTCCTGGGGTACAGCAGCTCGCGTCTTGATGAGACCGATATGCGCCGCGCTTGACTGTCTCGGGGAACCTGTTCATTACCTAGTGAGATATCACACCGGACGAAGACATTGCTTCGGTTTCCGGATACCGGGCTGAAAAAAACGGCCCCGTTTACGGACTAGGTAGAGCTTCCAATATTGACTTTCAGCCAGAATAGTCTAGATTCTTATATGCGTAAATCACATTGACGGACTTTGCAGAGCTTCGTTCTACGCAGATATCATCGCCTTGTCTCGCTATGTTGCACTTGAATTCATTGCTAACTGAAGTGTTGCTCTTAGCCTTTCGGTCAGCTCTCGGCGGATTCTTTGGGTCTTGCATATAAGTTCGCTCGGGGGAGCTACCGGAGTTGGAGACCGGCTAGTCTTCCATTGGTTCAAAAGACCTCGATGTCCCCTGCTGAGCTTCAAGCTTTCAACGACGTTTCTGGTTCCCTGCCGAAAAATAGGCCGAACAGTCGATCACACAGGCTGTTTGATCTTCCTTTGACGGGTGTATCGCGGCGCAACTCTCCAGATCGGCGCGGATCATCTCCAACAGGCTCTTTGATCCAGTCGCTCGGAATCTGAGTGATAAAGTCGTACCAATAGTCGCCGAATAAGCGGTAGCCCTGGTTGGTAGGATGAATACCATCTCTCAGTGCATTCATTGGAAAGCTCGAGAAGTCGACAGTGAGGATATGTTTACCGGCGCTTTGTCGGGCTTGAACAACTCCGTGAATCACCGCGTTGAACTGAGCTATGTTGCTCATCTGGACGGGGTCATAGCAGCCGATGATCTTGGCGACAAGGACTGCGGCATCTGGGCAAGTCTGCACAATCTGGTCGATCAAGTGGCCTAGACGGTCTGCGGTGGCGTGAGGTTCGCTGCCTTCTCTGGCAACGTCCGGATTCGGATTCATGTCGTTAGTTCCAGCGTGGATCAGGACGATGTTGGGCCTCTGAGCCAAAGAAGGTCCGATATTATCTGACATGAACTTGATAGTCATGCCATTCCACGCTGCCTAGTAAGTCGGACATTTGGTCAGCTGATGGATTCTGGCGGAGTACATTATCCAACGTACATAATACCCTTCACGCATCGTTCCATGCATGGTTTCCGTTCCAGCAAAGACGACTCTATCCTCTTATGGATTCGTTAGTATGGTATTTTTGATTCGTAGAAGAGGACTGACCCACTTGACAGGTCTTCTCGGAGCTTAAGTCTGTAGCCGTTGCCATCGCCTCCCTCTATGTCACTGAGAAATCCCACTGTGATGGAGTCGCCAACCCCAAGGATCCGGAGAGTCGTCCCTGGTTTTATCCCTTGGCCGGGCCTTATCCCTTTAAATTTGAGTGGCGCATGGGATGCCATCGCGACTTGGATCGCAGATTACTCTTTAACTACTTCAACGCTAATTTGACGTTCGATATCGTGAGCGGTTCCTTGACGTTAGACTCTTACCGTGTTGGACTGCTGCAGCTGACTTGATGAGTTCGTTGGTGATGTGTGCACGGCCAACATCAAGATCTGTGACGTTGGTTTCAGACGGAGCCCCTCAACAGCTGAGGCTCGACCCCAGGAATGCAACAACAAAGCCAAGAACATGAGTGCGGAGTACGTTTTTCCTTTCCGAATATTTCGCAGAGAACCTTAACATTGGCCAAGGACTTTGATTGGGTATTATTCAGAAGGAATTTCAATCAACTCAGCCCGTCTCATATCATAATGCATGGTTTGACAATGAAGGTTTCTAATGCATGGTTTGACAATGAAGGTTTCCGTGCACTAAAGGGCAGTTATATAACCTCAGGTTTTCCAGCCAATGCAAGTTCTATGGAACAAGGACTTCGTCAGATCGGATCACTGCTTGCATATATTGTGAGGACGATTGGCAGCCACATTGTCAGTGGGCATGGAGTCACGACAAAACATTGCTTAGGTACTTACTTTGGATCATTGGTCTTGTCTCGCTGAGAATGCAAACAAAAATTTGAATGAGTCCAATGAAGCATCGATCACCAGCCCTATTGATAGAAGAACTATCACGAAATTTCGGGCGCGCCGTTAAGGAGCGTGACTATCCTTGTACCTGGCGAGGACCCCCACATGGTGGTTAGCTGTCGTATTTGATACGAATAATCGCGTTCAAAAATCGTATTGCAATGCGCTTCGCACCGCCGCTGTGGATCACCCCTGAATCCTTACGTCTGTTGTCGAGCTATGGTATGTAAAGATTCTAAGACATAAAAAGGCCTCGCCATCCTTTTTTTCAGCTTGTATATACTTGTAATATTGCCATTGTAGTTCTATCAGTCTCTTCTCTTCATACAGTGTTCATTTTTGGCGATTTGCCCCATCCCCACGCTCTCTAACGACCAAGACTCTCGACAACATAGATTAACATCAAGACGAAGCGGTCCAAAAAATGGTAAACGAGCTGGACGGACCTGGTCCCTTCGGACCCGTTGTCAACGGAACACAAATTGTTTTCTACCATTACCGTCCGAACGGAGGGGCAGGATGGGCGTTTCTCGTCATCTTTGCGCTCGGTGCACTTGCTCATATCGGCTACATGTTCTGGCTAAGAGCATGGCACTTTATACCTTTCATATTGGGTGGCGTTGGTAGGTTTCCTACATACCATGAAACTTTAACCCCTACCTGCCGTGACTAATACAGGAACCATAGGGGAAGCATTTGGATACTACGGACGTGCAAAGTCTCATGAGAACCCCATCGTAGCTGGGTCCTTCATCTTACAAAATCTTTTGATTCTTGGATCTCCGCCGCTTTTTGCCGCGACAATTTACATGAGTCTCGGTCGTATCATGATCGCCCTTGACCTCCGACGCCACGCTTTCGTGAGCCCACGCCTCACGGCCTTTTTCTACGTCCTCGTCGACATTGGCTGTTTTGTCACTCAAGTCTTTGGCGCCGTCATGCCGGCCTCTGGTACGAAAGAGGGTATCAGAATGGGTAGGACCCTCATCATGTCCGGTCTTGCGGCCCAACTCGGCGTTATCGCCCTTTTTATACTATCCTGCTGGCATTCTCACACCTGTGCTCGACGCGAGGCAAACGATTTAAACGCGACAAGGGCGGGCATCGAGTGGAGAAAGTACTACCTGATGACCTATGGAATCGCTTCTCTCATGTTACTGAGAAGTTTGTTCAGGGGCATTGAGTATTTCCAAGGCGAGAGTGGGTACCTCATGAGCCATGAGATCTTCTTATACCTCTTTGATGCCGTTCCCATGGTCACGATTATGGCATTGTATCTTTGGATTCACCCTGGAAGATTGGCTCGAGATATTGGCCGCGTCAAGAGTTACACTTGGCCTGATGAAGCCAATATCATGCTTGAGAGACGATGAAATTTCATTTGGAGACTCCAGGGTAGCTCAAACTCGACATGTTTCTTTTTCCGTTGTATGTTCGATTCCGGCAATGCATCAATATCATTCATATAGAACGATACGATAGATGAATTTCTTTTGTTCCAAGCAGGGATTGACATCATTCAAACGCATCTAGAGCTCCAGCCCTGTCATAACTGCACGAGGGAACTAGTTCATTTCGGTCAATGGTCATTGCGCCCCAACCACTTCTCGCAAGCCTTGTAAATCTTGTCAAAAGACTCAGAATGTTGCACGACACGTTGATAATGTTCCTCGCCAGCTCGCTTGACAAAGTATAGAAATCCAACGAAGACGAAGTCCGTGTAAGATACTGAATGTGTTATCCTTAGCGGTTGTGACGGTGGAATCAGGATGGAAAGCTCGAGAGTGCATGCATACCCTTGTTACCGAGGAAGTACGGGCCATCCGTCTTATTTAGAAGATTCGCGAGCTCCTCCAGTGGCTCTTTGGCATTCGCCCAGGCTTCATCCCCTCCCTTGGTTTTCTCAAGCTCATCCAGCGAGACCCCAAACATCTCCGCCCTAGTTCGATGGAAGTACTCCGCGCTATACTCGCCCAACATTTTACGGGGGACATTGGGCAAGAGGACAGCAACAAGAGCTCCAAAGGTCTTGCTAAGAAGATCGTACATGGGCTGGAGCACCTCTGAGTCAATGTAGAGCGGCGGCTCAGGGTAGTCTGTCTCGATGCGCTTGATGATCTTGGCGCTGTTCATGATGTATGTGCCATCAGGGAATTGCACAGTGGGACACGTGTAAGGCTTGATCTGGTTCGGGTCACCTTCCAAGCCGGTTGGCTTGAGCCTAGGCTCGATGTCGGGATACTCGAGCCATTCCGTCTTGTAGTCGATGCCTTTGTAGTTGAGGGTCAGTCGAGCTGTATGCAGAATTACGTCAGTCAAAATCTCCAGCGGCTACCCTGGCTGAGTGAGGCTAAGTGAGGCTACACACTCTTCCAAGGATTCAGAGACCAACAGGTCCCGTTCCGATCGGGGATATCGAACAAGATAAGCTTTTCGGGCATGGTGACTTTGATGTCGCGATTTCTGTGACTGATGGTGGGATTTAACGAGAGTTTGTAGTGAGGGTAAGCTCTACTTTATGTAAGTTAATTCAGATGAGAGGGGTAAGGAGTAAGCGTGAGGGGATTGAGAGGAACAAGGAGCTTGGCAAGGGTTCATCGGACTGATCTCATTCATTACAAATCGGCCGCCTGGAGGATCCACGGCGAGCTGTGGGGCTCCGGCGCTAGCTGCTTACTGCGTCGGTGTTCATTGACCCAAGTATCAGAGCACAATAAATGATGTAGGACATAACTTTGACGGGTATTTCAGCTGTAAAAATGGTGAATGCAGTACTTTGGCAGGCGTCGTTTCGTAGTGTTGAAGGATCCGAAGACCGAGGAACGGACTGTAGGATGTGATTTGAACATGGGTCCCATAATCTTGACTTTTGCACCACCGAGGGTGCCTAATAAAAGTGTAGGTTTTTTAAGCTGCCGAGACCCAGACTAACTGACGTAGTCCGAATACCGAGCAGCGAACGAACAGTTCAACCGGGCTAGAGCTATTTCACGCTGGGAGTGACACGGTGCTCTGAGTCAAAATCAATCTAATATTCGTACTGATTGAGCGACCTATAAGTTACAATGGACTACCTATATGTTAGTGGAAACCCCTCTTACTCTTTCTTATACCATGGCTTGTCACCAGAGCTTGCATCGCTACTGATCGTCCGTAGAATTAGCTCGACCTCATCGTCTGCAGCTTCAAGAATATGTTCTGGGGGAAATTGCGGTTTCCATCCAAGTTGAGCACCGTGCTCGGCTGTGAAGGTGCATCTAGGTTCAAATGAACAACGTTAGCCATGACAAACACACTGCTGGCTCATAATCATGCACTTTACACAACTCGGGATTCTCTTACTTTCCAGCCAATCTCATTTGAACGAGAGAACTCTCGGTGCTCAACCCTTGAGCCATTTTGCCAAGCGCCGTTTCGTCTGCCGGGGTGATACGTTCATCTGTAATGACGTTCCGGGCCCTGAGTGCCTTGGCCATGGCTTCATATAGATCATCCCAGGCAACAATACCGGAAGCTGCGAGATAGTAGCCGTTCTTCCCATATCCTGGGTCTTCTTTCTGCAAAATTGATCGCAAAATTTGGAGGTAAAGGGTCGTATTATCGACGACGTGGCATACGGGCCAAGTCTAAAGATAATGTAAGCTTACTTCAACATTTCGAGGAGGGATTCGCCACGTGCTGGCCGATCAGATGTGACTGAATGAACTTGACCTGCAGCGATACCGGCCTTGACGATGTCGACAGTTTGGATGGAAATAGGGTTCCCAAATCCTTCTCCCCTTCCGTCTTCATCATAAAGTCAGAGAGAGAACTGTTGATAGAGTGGTTTTATGGGATAAAAGGCTTACAAACTATGCAGGGAGCAAAGATATAAGACTTTACACCGTTGGCTTGGGCCAAGTCAACAACTCGGGTATTCGTCTCGACAGGCTTAAGAAGACCCTTCAATTAGCATGAATTGACGATAACTGAGAGCTACACCGCGAACTTGCCTTTTTCATGAAAGAAATGGGGGGTTCTTGAGCTTTCTGGATGTCATACAGACCGGGGTCGGTATCCAAGAGCGGACTATCTGTGGGAGCACCTGCAAGACCCGAAAAGATCTTGGCCCCCGATGTCTAGAGAAGCAAAATCCCGCGTTAGCAGAATTCACTGAATTGAGAGCGGTGCCATTGACGGGATGTACACACGTGAAGCAAGTGAACGTCTAGACCCGTCTGAGACTTCACTTCGCCCAAAGCCTTGATGAAGTTTTCTTGGCCCACGGATTCGAAAGCATCAATCAAGTAAAAGACAATGGTGATCCGATTCTGCACCACCGCATCTCGAACTGCCTGCTCATCTCGAGAAGAGAACGTGAGAGGCTCGGCACCGTATTTCTTTATTTGCTCTCTTTGAGCGTCTGTTCGAACAAGGGCAAACAGCCTATCGTAACCCGTGAGGCCAGCGCTTGCCCAGCGAGCAAGTAAAGTGCCTCCGAGATAACCTGACGCACCCGTGATGAGAATATTATGAGAACCAGTCATGGTAGAAGTTGTCCTTGCTTAATGTTTCTCGTGGAGAAATCAAAAAGATAAAAAGATAAAATTCAATGATCGTCGCAATCTGGCGTAGTCTTCATTCAAATGTGGCCAAGACGTCTCCTACTGGCCAGGATTCGGAACGATACGAGTTGCAGGATTCACTTCTCTTTTGTTATCAAGACTCGACGGATAATCCGAGGGGCTCGCCGAGTGACCATGAAGATTAATAACGTGGCTCAGGACCTTGTTCCAAGACTAACTGCTACCGTGGACTTCGGCATTTGTAAGCACATCTCTCAGGGTAATATCTCGTGCTATGGGGATGTCATGAGCTGAGTAAATTAGAGTAGTATCCGAGTCATCGGGAATTGCACGGATATAGCTGACGCGCCCGGGACAGCCCTTCTGTGCTGAGTCAACCCTACACTTAGATTCACTATTGAATGTGTATTGCCCTCAATTATAAACTCTTCAGTGACATAAACTCTGTTCGACTACACTATCGGCTTTATGATTACAACCACGAGCCCCATATCAAACCAACTCTTAGTCAAAACGTTGCAGTAGATCAACTTGGACGTGGGCCGCAGCGTTCTGCAGGTGGTGCCCAGTGTGGGACTTGGTGCTTCTGTGTCGCTGCCATTGGGTCGAAAGGCACTCGCTTCTGCTCGTAGGGCTTTGAATGTCCCACACACAAGACACCGCTTCAAGCTTAGCATCATAATCAAACTGCGAGGTCGTCAACATCATCGAGAAGCATCTCAATATCCCCGATGGCACAATTGGCTAGCGCGTCAGACTGTTAATCTGGAGGTTGGTGGTTCGAGCCCACCTCGGGGAGTTACGATGGTTAGAACCCATCAACTAATTGAGATTTCACTTTTATTATTTTTGACACATCAAAAATGAGATAATATGGGCCGTCTGGCATGCAGATGGCAGTGGAAGAGTTCCAAATACTCTTGCTCAATCATTTATACGTTATGAATATGTATGAGAATGATAAGTTGTGACCATCGTAGCCAGGTCACAGACGACTTAGGTATCCTGCCATTCAACATTCTCCGGCGCAGCTAGTTTCTGATCCCGAGATTTGGCATAGCCGAGTCCCTCCCACCCCCAAGGGCTTGTTTCATCTTGACGCGAGACACTTAGCAGCCAACGTAGATGGCGTTGGCGAAGACTGTGGTATAGAGTGGTAAGTACGTGCAAAGAAAGCTAAGAGAGAGAGCGGGAGAGGCTTACGGGCGTAGGTGTCGGCGTGGTTCAGGTTCTGGGCAGCGGTCAAGCTCTGGACACAGCTGTAACCGTAGCAGGAGCTCTGGTCGGTGGTACCCTTGATCTGGGTCAAGTGGGTAACCTCGTGAAGCTGAGAGAGATCGAGTTAGTCATTGAGGGAATTGGTGAATCTTTCCCCGGAGCGAAACTTACGGCAGTGGTGGCGCGGTCCTGAGCGTGGCAGGTGCTGGAGAGAGCAGTAAGGCTGTTGAAGAAGTAGGGGCCTGTGGCGCGGGGAGTATCGTCAGATGAGTTATGAAAAACAACATGTTATGTCCCGTCGTCAGGATAGTGGTACTTACAGTTGACCATGTAGGAAGCGGAGGGAAGAGTGTAGGCAATGACACCGGAAGAGCAAGCAGGGTAGATATCGGTGCAGTACTGCTTGGAGACACCAGAGGTGGTGCTGCCGCACTCGGTGGCGACCTTGGCAAAGACGCCAGCGACGGTGGTACGGGTAGCCGTGGAGGAGGACTTGAAGTACTCAACCATCTTGGCAGCGGCGCCAGTGGAGGCGGCGGAGGAAGCAGCAGCAGCGAGGGCGCGGCAGTTGGAGAGGGCAGTGGTGGTAGCGGTGCGCTGGGTACCGGTGCAGTCGGACTGGACGACGGTACGCTTGACGTTCTCGCGGAAGTCGCGGCGGACCTTGGAGGCGGCGGCGCCGTCAACCTCGACGCTCAGGACGTTTGAGCTGAAGGAGGCGGTGCTGGTGATATCGTTGCTGCCGACCTCGGCGATGGAAAGAGCGCCCTTGGCGGCAACATCGACCTTGCCACCGACGCTGAGGTCGTGGACTTCACCGTAGTTCCACTCGACAGAGACGGTCTCGCCGGCGGAGATGACCTGGAAAGCATCCTCAGGAAGGCCGTTGGTGCCGAGACGAAGGCGGATACCGTCGAATTCGACCTTGTCGGCTATTGATGAGGTTTGTTAGTGGCCAAGATTGAATCATGGCGATATTCATAAGAAGGCACTTACAGCCAGCAAAGACCTCAGCCTTCTCGACAGCGAGCTTGTCGAGGATGGAACCAGCCTTCAGGACCTTGAGGTCAGAGGCACCGGTATTGGTGATGCTTGCCTTGATGGCGGTGTTGCCAGTCGACTCGATCTTGACATCGAGGGGGCTGTCGCGCTTGTTGAGGTCGACGACAACGGCGCTGGCAGCAGCGGCGAGGCAGGAGAGGCCGGTGAGGAACTTCATGGTGAAGGTTGGACAAAGAAGGCGAGGAAGGTACTGCTGGGTTGATCTTGGCGATGCTGCTGAGGGATGAGGAGCAGGAAGTTGGCCATCAAGGTCCTCACGAGGAGTATATATACTTGAATGAAGCCATATCCGACTGCTAGGCAAGTGTGATCCTTCACTCAATCATTGCTTGCTGATAAGCTTTCCTTCCGTATTCCACTTCCAATAGCCTTCATCATCATCAACAAGCGCTTTCCGACGTCTGCCAAGACGGAAAGAGCGACAGATCGGGAATGTGATAAAGAAGGTGGCTACATTCTCTTTCGTCGATATGAGGGGCTTACCGAGTCTAACGCAACGAGACTACCGGAGGTAAGCGAGGATAGGAAGGCAAAGGAAGGAAGGAAGGAAGGTCTGCAGGAACCGACGACGATATGAGATGCCAAGAAAGCCAAGATAGCCAAGATGGCAACTCGATCGACCTTGCCGCATGTCCCCATGCTTGAGCTGGGTCGGAGGGTGAAGAGAGACGGTCGAAATGTTGTCTGGATGCGAAGCAATCTGGGGAAGGACGTTCCATTAAAGCTCTTGGCATGTCGCCGCATCCGGAGCTCACTCCACAACTCATGTCGCGAAAGACCGCGCTAGGGACGTGAATTCAAGCTTGAATCAAACAACCATAACGACAACTAGCTTCTACTAGTCTCGGTATCTAATCGAAGCAGCACAACACACACAGTCTTAGTTCGACCGGGAGCCTCGGGGAGGCGGCGAACGCCGGCGGGTAAGTAGCCCCTGTCTCTGCTCCAGACTAAGGTGAGATAGGCATCTGGAACCGGTCAGTCTCTGAGACCCAAGATACTCAGAGCAATACTAGGCGAGCCTCTTGCCAGCTCAGGAAGGAGGTAGACTCTTAGTGAGTGTGGTGGGAGGCTCCCCGGCGCTTATTTGCACTTTGGGAAGCGTTTCGACGATAACTATGAGGTCAGTACGTGGCAGTCCTGCTGAAAATGAAGTGCATGGTATGCGCAATCGTGAACACCCGCGTATGACAGGGGCAAAAGCGGCTCATCCAGTTAGCTGACCAATCCCGTCCTGTCTCTGTTCGTATTCCTCCCGGAAAAGTCGACGGATATGTGCCTTGATAGAGATATTGCCCCAAGGTGTTGAGACAGGGCTGGAGGCGGGAAGCTTATGTGGTCGATCGATGTCCCGTAGGATGGCACTCTCTGCGGGGTAAAAGGAGCGCAGTCAACAGACTAATTGGGACTTTAGTGTTTACATTCCTATTCGGGGATCGCGAGCTTTTGTTACTTTTGTTGTAAGACTCGACATCAACATACAGAGACCTGTCCTCCCTCATCCCGTACTGACCATTGTTCTGAAGGTTGTCACAAGTTGGGCGGTTTCCCGTTGTACGGCACACGGCATTGTTTGGCGGCTGGGCGCGCAGAAAAAGCACCGCTGTTGGCAATCTACTTGACGCGTTCTACGACGACCTTCCTATTCCGATATCATTTGCCGGGTCTAGACTGAACCCTGCGGTAGTTCGGGCCCTGGGGTTACAATGGAGACTTGGGGGAGCCCCAGTGCACTGAACATTCTGTGGCACGAGTAATCATCCCGTCACGCAGTTCTACATCCGTAATTGCATTTCAATGCCGACCATCGGCGTGAAGAAGGCTTGGCGTACGAGTACCATGTCCATGGAGGAATGGAAGCGAAGATTTTGGGCTTGAATAACTAGGCAGATTACTTATCTCTCGGCCTGTTGTTGCTGCGAGATGGCAAAAGTCCAAACTCGCCATTACCAATTGGAAGTAGTGAGATGGGTCAAGACTACAACAGGGGCGGAACCGGGGCTTTCTGTATGTTTCAACACCTTCCTGAGATGAACATGTCTGCTTACTTCTTTAGCACAAAGACGCGCTATAGCGGACCCATTCACTCCGCCTGCTGTCTATGGGGTGGGTCTTTTCCGTTGGGCAATGCTCACGGCAGCTATAGTTGTTCTCGTTGCATGGACGGGTGGTGTATGATAATTCTCAGTAGGTATGGGAACTTGTCTAAGAAGTCAATACTTCAGATCATCGATGGCAACATCTGCGTAACTCATTGCGCGTGCACATAGGTCTCTACCTACATCGATTCTACGGATTGCATGCGCGAGATGCAGTCGCTCTTGTTTGAGAGCCTCTCGGCTTGGCTCCCTCACTTCTGTACGTTTAAGCATTTGCCAAGTTGCCAAGACAAAGTGGCAGCTGGTCATGGCGTGCTCAACGGTCGCTTGGGACACCATTCCTTTACAGGAAGGCCATAGCAATACGTGTACTCCATATGTTATGAGCGGTTTCCGTCAGCCCATGATCAGATCGGAAGGAGACTCAAAATCAGCTGGATGGTGCAAGATGGTGTGTCTTCTCAGCCAACGAGACACATCTGAATGGACGACAAGGGCCAACCATCTGCTACTAGGATAAACATTTTCTCTCTCAATATCTGAGATGTGCATCAGAATGCAAATATCATTGGGAGGATATATGAAAATAACCTCGAAGTGGAAGCTCCTCTATCACTCTTGATAACAATCGAAAGGATCATGTCGCCCGTGACATCCCACCATGCTGCACGTATCCAGCAAGTTATCCATGTCAAGCTCTAAATGGGCATGAACCGGCGAACCGTCCTCATTCGGCATCAGTCTCAAGTACGTGGCGACAAGCTCTCGTTTCTCGAGATCCCATTTACCTGACATCCAAACCCACCTCGACCCAGACGGTATGAACCCATTGGCGTCCATCCCTCTTTCTTCCAACATCACCACGCCAGACTTGCCAATGACGAGCGCTTTGCCATCCCAGGCGCTTTCTCTCCATGCCATGGTATTGAGGAGGTGAACAGCTTGCATCCTCAGCTCGTGATTGCGGCACTTGGCGACGATGGTGGCGAGTGGGGTTGTGAGGCCTTCTGTGAAGGTGAAGCCAACCTTTGAGATTGGTCCCGGGTCGCGCAGGTACGTCACAATTCTGTTCAAGAGGTCCTTAAAGTCGGGCTCAAAAGCGTCGTAGCACATATCAGTCCGGTCGAGACCGCAGCTGATGACGATGTGGATCAAGAGCCGATGGATCTGGATCTTCCGCAGGGCTCGTCTGGCGTTATCCTCGAGTAAAGGGTCTTTGAGGTATACTTCCAGTACGGAGTCCCACATTCGTATGTATGACAGGAACGTAGCTTGTTCCAGCGTGGCCTGTGTAATGTTCCGCTGCTTGTATCGAAGCTGGTCGTGCAGCGAGCGCATGATGTGTACGACGGCGCGGGTAAAGAATTGACCCCAGAAGACTTCGAGCTTGGCAACTACTGTGACGCCTGGTTGAGGCAGCTCGAGGATCGGAGTGCCGTTCATCATTGGCATTGCAGTGCGGTGCGAGTTAAAGAAGTGGGTGAAGCCGCTCATGAGGGAGAGGCATGGCAAGAGGTGCTCAATGTCTTCCATCTCATCGTCCCGCACGCCTCTTCGTAGTTGGGTAGCTACGGACTGTGTAGATCTTGTCGAAGCGTCTCCATTCTCATTTGAATGACGTGATGGACGTTGCGTGAGCGAGATTCTGTTCTCAAGAAGACGCATCCCGGTGCCGGTCAGAGTGTCAACATTGTTCATGTTGCCTTGAATGAACTCGAATCCCACGAGTAAAAGGGTCATGATGATGACTGATCTTGGTGAGGTTGAAGATGGGTCCCGGATTCGTTGTCTGTATATCGAAACCGCTTTGACGTGATGAAGTAAAGCCGACCTGTGATGATGGTTGAGAAGTCCGCCAGATGGTGCCATCTTGGTACCCCAAGGGCGGAGTGCTGACGGCATGGCGTCCAGTTGATCCTTTGACATATCCTCAAGCATCTGGGCCTGAGATATAGCACCGATAGCCAAGAGCGACTCTTGGACGCACGGGTCTTGTGAGCTCTCCTGTAAGACGATTCTGGACCAAGCATCAGAATGGCCCGATCCCCAAAGGTCACGCACAAGCCGGTGTCGGAAGAGGTCGTAATAGTGAACATCCTCCTGGTTGACCCTCAAAGTCGAGGGGTAAAGCGGCAACGGCACAGGCACTTGGGCCGCTATTTCTCGATCGGGGGCGGCCAGGCCCGAACCGCCCGGCCGCGGAAGCAGCTGCCGGCTCGCTTGTGCTTCCTGGGCCGCGGCGGCCAGTCTCTGCTGCTCTGCACTCCTCTTGGAATCTGCGGCCTCTTTCGTGTATCCGTCGCACTCCACGTCGGCCTTTTCGCATCGGAAACACGTGGGTTTGCGTTCATCGCACTTGACCCGTCGGATCTTGCACGTGATGCAGCCAGATCGCACCTTGGGACGACTAGCACGTTTCCTTCTAGGATGAGAAGCGTCACCGGGCCCGTTGAGTGTGACTTCCAAGTCTTGATTGGTAGGTTGGACGGTGCTCGGGTGCGGAAGCAGCGGCAGGATGCGGCTCTGTTGAACTTCCTCGGCGTAAGCTGGAGCTTGCTGCCCTTGTGGTATGGCTTGTATAAACGACAGGTTATTCATGATTGGTTGAGAGTATTGGTCGATCATGGTCTGGCCTCTAGGCGTTGATGTATCGTTCCAAGATCTGGCGAGAGCTTTGTTTTTATGAGTGTTTGTCAGAGCCCAGGGGCCAACTTCCGTCCAATGGGTGACGCTGTGTCTTCTAAGACGGGAGGCCTCGACCTTCTAGTCATGCAAGCTGACTAGAAACTGGTGGAAAGCGGACATTGATAATGATGCTTGACCTTAGAAGAGGAATGTCACGATGTCAGATACTAAGTCCGTCGAGGACTGACGGAAATCCCCGGCGGCATCAAGTATGACCGTGTCTTGGCCCTGCGCTGCGGCTTCTGTCCCCCTGTTAGCTCTAGTGCAAAGGAAGGTTTTCATTGGGCGACGAAGGTCCGAGCCAATCATAAGAGGCAGCTCGTATTCTTTCAGCTGCGTAGATAATTGGACAGGCTAGGTTTACTCAACTTTTTACAAAGCTGTGTTGTAGTCTTGGACAACATTACAATCCAAGGTCCGCCAAACACGCGGGAGTGCATGAATGCCAGTTGCGTATGATACGCGAGTCAACTTTTCAGGCCTGGGACGATTATGCCCGGCGCAGTGCATGAGGTGAGCATCAAAAATCCCACGACGGAGTGGCGCTGCCTGCTTGGAGATAGTTGCGGACTTATCACTCAGCATAAGGTAGGGTAGGTAGGTAGCTGACAATGTTCAACGCAAGGGACGGACAATCCTGTGAAACAAGACATGGTGCGTACAGTCGCAAGCTTGATGTTGACGTCACATCCAATATTATGGCCCGGCTTACACAATGGTGAATGTTGCACAGGTATAGGAATCTTGGGCTGCTTACCTCATCGGTGTCACTGGGACAATTGCGATATGGAAGTATTTCTCATTCAAGAACAGCAGGTCGGCTTATGCGAACGGTGTATTTTGAACGCAGATCCATTCATAGCCATACCTTAGTTTTACTGATACCAGACTGGAGAATTAACCAATACATCAGCTTCGCCCACAACTTTTTATGATGGAGATCATTCAAGTAGTCAACTCACAGTTCGGTCAGATGAGCAAACTCTGAAGTGCGATAAATCTAACATTGCATGCGACCTTAGGATATTTTCTTGTCTCTCATTAATCACTCGATATCAAAATTCAACTTGAGAAAATTTGGCCAGCTGCAGGCTGGGTGGCAAAAATACATGTAATTTTTGCATTCCTAGATTTATTGATTGTAATTAAGGTAACTAGTCAAATGTGGGCGGATATGGTTGACTAAACGTCATGTCCACATCCAAGATGTCTCTCCCCCAGAGCCTCTAATTCTTCGATCTGGATCAAATCTGGCTCAAGGCTTCTCGATTGCAGATGAGTGAGCATTGTGGCGTTGACCGCAGTTTTGGGGATAAGCGTTGTTCCATTCAATGATAGAACCGTAAGCATGTGGGCAGCGGCCTGTGATATCATTAGCCAACTGGGTTTATTCTAAATCATTGCATTCTTTTCCGAATTTTGAGCCAGAAACGAACAATAAGGCAGCAAACGTACCCTAGCATTGACAGTTATCGTATTGGGGTCAGGATTGTCGATTGTGTCACAGGCCTGGTGATAGCAAGGGTCTTGAGCGACTGCGGTACCAGTGTGCAAGAATCCAAATGGCTTGCCGAGAATTTGCCAGAAAGAGGCATAATCACTTCCATTGGTCAAGACGGCGGGCGTGACCTCGAGACCCTGACTCTGGTAGTATGCCTCGTAGATGTGTTCGACAACATCTGATCCGGCGGGACCAGCGCTTCCATGGGTGCTTCCGTCAGTGTCAGCCACGCCGAAGAAGCCCTTGGCCACCATGTCGAAGTTGAGATACACGAGAAGGTCATCGACGTCGGATGCGGGCAAGTTGGAGCAGTAAAACTTGGAGCCCAAGAGGCCATTTTCCTCGGCACCCCACCAGGCGAAGCGGACCTTGTTCTTCGTTCGATACTGTGTCATGGCGAGGAAGAGTTCCAGAAGCAAGCTAGTGCCTGAGCCTGTGTGGTTGTCAGCAAGTTGGTTACTATGATTACAGGCGGAACATAACTTACCATCATCATTGATGCCTGGTCCAGCTTGAACACTGTCCAAGTGGGCACCGAGCTATGAGACTTGTCAGCTACAAATGTTACATATAAACAAGAGTTATTCTCATGCTCACCATAATCACATTGTGTGGGTCACCTTCTTCAGTCTCGACGAAGACGTTTTGGGTGATGCGTTCCTCTACGATTTGAGTCTGCTGGAAGTGGGCCTCAACAGTCTCGCCAGCATCAAGACGCTCCTTGATCTTCAATCCATCCGCAAGATTGATGAAACCAGCGGGCACAAAGCCCTCAGGATCAGGCGCACTGAGGGAACCAGCTGTCGCGTTGGTGGTGATGTCGTGATAGACAATGACAGCAGCGGCGCCGGCGGTAGCGGCAGGGCGGACTCTTCCGGCAAGTGTGCCGCCAGTAGGGCACCTGAATCTCTGTACGAGCACGATCTTGTCCTGAACATTTAAACCCTCGTAGTTGGCAGCATCACAGCCGGCGGCGCCGTCGGGGCCGAGAACAATTTCTGCTGTGATACCCTCTGCGCTCGTCGACGGAGAGTAGGTCAAACCAAAGACATAAATCGACTCGCCGTCAATGTTGAAATCAATCGATGTGACCTGCCCAAAAGTGGCTGGAAAGTCTTGTTTCCATGCCTTCGTAGCTGGGATTGCAGAGATGCGATCCCACACGTAATCGACCGATGCGGCATAACCAGGGAGACCAAAAGCGCGGTTTCCACCGTTGGCGAAGGCGATTTCGTTGAGAGCTTCCAGGTTGGCCATTAAGCTGTTCCGCAACAATTGTCAGCCAATTGCGCCAATTAACCACGCAAAACTGGTGAGAGGGCAGGCCGACTCTTACTTCTCAGTGGTGAGATCAGCTTGGAGCTGTTCCGAGTCAATCTTGGGTCGGCATGTCGTGTTCGTTGCCGCGGTGCCGGAGACCAGCGACAGTAAAGTCGCAGTCGACTTGGAGAACTTCATAGCTGCAGTGAGGCGGATCTTGAGACAGCAAAGGCTAAACCGCAAGAAACAAACACCATTAGCTCAGGCCGGCGAGACCTCCTTTTTATTTGCGCGACATCCATTTCCGCCATAGACCTGTTTTGCCATGTGTTAGTGTTGCGGTCAGGCGCGGCGCACCCAGAGTGCCACCGTAGAGCAGCAAAAAACACGATAGTCTGCATGCCCATCCCGGGCCGCCGAGACTTCGGCGCCCAATCGGCCGCCGTCAGTTGGGGCAGACGCACGAACCGAAGGTCGGATCGGGAAGGTCGACGGTGGAGATGAGGGGAAGCTCGGGCCCGCCAAGAGCCAAGCACTATAAAAACTGTAGTCTTGGCCCGTGATGTCGTCAACGCGGTGGGCTGCTGGGTGCGGTCTTCTACTTCTCATTTGCGTTGGTCATGATTCAGTCGCGTGCTCTGCGCGTACGCATACATGCACACTATCTTCGTCCAGTGAACTTTGGCTAGGGTCAGACTCTGGGGGCGTATCCGGGAGAAGCGGACTTTGGTGACCAGCACAGAGGTCCATTTCGCCAAGCATGCGGCGAAGGCTTGTTGATAGACAGATTAGTGAGATGATTGTTAAGTGTTTTCCGTTCTCTTCCCACTAGCGTATTCTTTTCGCCCATACTTTTCCTTCAGGGCAAAGAGCGGAATCTCACCAATTAATAGAACAACGCAACTACGCCCAACAAGTTATAAAGCTCGCACGGTCCAGTCGAGATGCTAGAGGAGTCTCATCGTGCTGGAGTCAACAATTAGAGCTCTTGGTACCCTGCCTTATATTGAGTACAGTAGAGATTAACCCGTCTTTTCAGTCGACGGGTCGTCATTCCCAGTTGATTATTGACTTGTCACTCGATGTAAGTTGAGTGATACCCTGTATTTTATGTCTTTCCCAAGGTAAAGTGACTCATTCAACGCCAGGCAACGGCACCCACGATGGATTTTGCCACATCAAATGATTTCATCGCCAAATCACTCAGTCTTTGGCTTGTCCCACAATAACTTCAATTTTACTCAAGTATGAGCTGGCGCGAAGAGCCTCAGGTCAGTTACTACACCGGTGCTTATATCAGGTGATCCCTCCGGCAAGGGCTGCCGAAGCGCGCTCGAGGATGATTTGTCGACACCACATTCGCTACAAGCGACCCAGCCTCCACAACCGAGCTGGGCTGTTGCCTAGTACCAAGTTGCAACGACAACAAAGTAGAAAATCGAATGTTTCCTCATGACAGACCTTCAGACGCGTGTCAACAAAGAATGTTTAATCGGTCCAACTTCAACTGACAGACATCAAACGACTTACCAATATGTCGCGTCCTCAAACTCCAACGCACGATGTGTACAACGACCCCGACGGCTATGAGCTGCAAATCGCTATTGACCAGCTAGCGGCTGGGTCATCGGAAGCACTGCGACTGTACCTAGCCCGTAAAAACGGGATCGATCCCGCTACGGTATCACTTAGTACATCGCCGTTCGCAGTAAGCGATGATCCGAACGTCAACTACGCATACGCCGGAAAATTAGACAATACCCAGGCACCAGGAGATGAGCAAATGCACGACCCCAGCACAGAGTCAAATAGGCCGGATGTCATGTTCGATGACACAGAGATACCATTTGAATATGAGCCATTAGACCCTGAGCTTCGACAAATGCGCCTTCTAAGACTGGGTGCCGCTGACGAGGAGGGCATTATACGCGAATTGCAGGTCGAAACCTTTTGCCTGGAGGATGCTCCCCCCTATTTCTGTCTCTCGTATGTTTGGGGAAACCCCGAGCGATTTCTCGCGGTGAACTGTAACGGGAAGATGATCTCTGTAACGAAGAATCTCTACCATGCGTTGCGAACTTGCCTCAACAGACACCCCGCCACGTGGTTTTGGGCCGATGGTATTTGCATCAACCAGGACAACGTTGTAGAGCGAAGTCAACAGGTTCTGCTGATGGGAAATATCTACAAAGGTGCAAAACTGGTTCTTGCTCATCCTGGTCACTACCAATATGAGCGCCGCAAGCCAGAAAACGTTAACGGCACGCAGGAAACCACGTTGGAAGATCGTATGGGAGGGTTGGGAGTTCAGGACATGATGAGCTTCGGCCTGGATGACAAAGTCAAAGATGAAGCCACAGCAGAGTCTGAGAAACCATATGGGCTATCGGACTTCACCCTGGAGCCTGTGGATGATGCCTACAGCACCGAAAGCGTCCAAGGTGCCATCAGTATCATGACATTCATGACCCGTATCTGGGAAGACCAACGCCGAGACAACATCATGTCGGACATAGAATGGGACAAGGTTGGTCTCCCAGATACGGAAACGCAAGAGGGCCGGGAGACGTGGAACAAGTTGGTACGGTTCTGGGTGACCGACTGGTACTTCCGCACATGGATCCTGCAGGAGGTCATTCTGGCACCAAAGGTAGTCGTGCTCTACGGTACAGCAGCGATCAGCCTGGAAGCAATCACGGATTTCTGGGACCTTGCGAGACTTCATGGCCTCCCAAGGCTACTTCGAATCGGCATTTATGCTGAAGTTTTCAGCATGATTATGCATTTGAGTCCCGTAAGCTCCTTCAAGTTGCTACGAGACCGCAAGCAAGGATTTGAGCCATCTCAAACAGTCGACGCTATAGGAAATGTGGAGGATGAGGCTGTAAAAGCGGGCTCTCCTCTCAATCTTCTTGAGTTACTATGTCTAACGCGGAATAACCTGGCAACGGATGCGAGAGACAAGGTATATGGACTTCTCGGACTCACTGATGACCCCGTCGCTCAGTCCATTGTTCCCGACTACTCGCCAAACAATACCCCAGACAAAGTTTTCACTGAGGTGGCAAGACTTATGATCGAAGCTGGTCGCGGTATCGACCTCTTACACCACGCCGGCATTAATCAAGGTATCCCAAACCTTCCTTCCTGGGTGCCTGAATGGACGGTTCAGTCACGTTCGACTTTATCGATTCAGCTTTACCACTGCATGCCCAACACGTCTCCCAAAATATCATTATTTGCCTCGAGAGACGCTCCGAGACTAATTGTACGAGGAATGATCCTGGATCGAGTCAACTTCGTAGGGCCATCGTGGAAATATTACATTCACAATCAAACTGACAACATGTTCAACATTTTCGAGAACGCGCCAGATCTCGAGATTCCAGCGTTTAACGACGAAGATTCTCGAAACTTTATCCTTACCTTTGCGACTATTACGACTGAAGACGGCCTCAAAGAGCAATATACCGACGAGGGTCTCAATGACGCCCTTGTGAGAACCCTGGCGATGGATCGATCATGGCGGGGCGAAAGAATTGGACCAAGAGACAAAGAAGAGGAAGGAGGGGCCGAGAATCCCAGTCTCGTTCTCACCGCAGAGAACGGCAACGATTCTCCCGTGCCAGTATCGACATCGAAAGAATTCTTCGCGGGTGTGGACGCCTTCCGGCGCTTCTATGCTCAAGGACCGAATGAAGAGAATGATGAGCACGCGCCAGGTATTCGTGTGCACCAGACGGCGATATTTAAATGGCTGCTTGACTTTGACCTCGATGTCGAGGCAGACCTTCAGAGAAGGATGGTCCCCTTCACCGTCCCTTTTCAGGAAGCTCAACGTGGTCGACGATTTGCGATGATCGGTACAAGGGATGACAAAAATGAAGACGATCTTGCAAAAGATGCGGTCATCTCAGAAGAGAAACCCAGCGGGATGGTATATAAGACAAAGTCTCTAGACCATCATTACATGGGCACTGTTCCGTGGAATGCCCAGGTCGAGGATTACGTAGTTCTCCTCGAGGGATTCAGGACACCATTCGTCTTGCGAAAAATCCGCAACGATGATCAGTCGGGCGGTGAAGACGCATTCCAGATCATTGGCGATTGCTATGTGCACGGTGTCATGGATGGTGAGCTTCTGAGGCCGATTGACAACTTCAAAGAGACGTTGAAGGTTGAGCAAGTGGGAGTTGACGCCGAGGGAGAAGAATATGCGGTGGAGGGTCTTGAAGGCTACTTACAGTTCCAAGACATCATAATTGTCTAGAGCCCATGCAGCATAACTACAACTTTGAGTTATTCGGTGACACATCTTATCACATTATTGCTTCTACTGATGTGGCGTTCAAAGTTCGGCGTCGGAGATCGCGCTGACCATGTTCAATTACAGCAGAAAACTCAACAATCAAGGTTTATAACATTCGTTTTTTGCACATTTAAATGGGGCTATAGACATTTTCCAAAATTAAGGCAGGGGCTTAAAATTTGATGTTTTCTTTTTCTCCGCGGAATTATAGCTCTCCTCCGGCGGGCCATCCTCGAGATCGTGGTTACCTCGGGATGTTGTCATGCACCTGCGGGGGATCGGCATTAACCTCGGATGACTAATGAAAAGTTGCTCGTCTATCCCCGAGTCCCATCCAATTGTTTCAGCCCGTTTAAGGTTTCACTCTTTCCTGTTTCTCACCAAGAGAGGCTTTTGTTTACACATTAAGACCTGTTGACAAAGTGTGTTGCTCAAGTTCTCAGACATGGGTTCTTTCGAAGAGCTTATCGACACCGCTGTGCGGGATCGTGATATCCCGGGCATTATGCTTCATGCTCAAGACAAGTCAGGTAAGCCAACTTCCCGCAATATTGGAGCTAACCTCACCCAAACGATTGCTAATAAACCTGAATAGGCAGCTTTCAATACTCACATATCTATGGAGATAACCTGAAAAGCGCAACACCTTTGTCAGATGATAATATCCTTACTCTTGCCTCCGTCACAAAGCTTTTCACTACGATCGCTGCCTTGCAGCTCGTAGAACGTGGTATCCTAACCCTTGACGGGGATGTATCAAAACACATTCCGACACTAGCACAGAAACTCGTCTTGACTGGCTTCGCGGACTCCGGCAAGCCCATCGAGGTACAGCGCAAGAAGCCCATCACTCTGCGCCACCTTCTCACGCATAGCGCCGGTAACAGCTACGACTTCCTCAGCGATGCGACGCGAGAGTGGCAGTCCTTCCACGGCCTCAAACCAACCCGCGGGTCTACCGTCGAGGAGCGCTTCGGGTACCCGTTGAACTACGAGCCGGGAGAAGATTGGGCCTACAGTTGCAGCTCGGATTGGACGGGGAAGCTGATTGAGAATGTGTCTGGGAAGTCGCTTGAGCAGTATATGCGGGAAAACATATGGGACCCGGTTGGCGCATCAAGTTTCACGTTCAACGTTGAGTCTGTCAGATCCAAGCTTTGGGGGATGAACACCCGGGACAGGGACACGGGGAAAATTATCCTCCATCGCGGAAGGGAGTTGAATCACGGAGTTACCGAATGTCTTGGTGGACAAGGATCCTATGGCTCGGCTCCCGATGTCATGCGAGTCTTGCATTCGCTGCTGGTTGACGATGGAAAGCTACTGCGTCCAACAACGACTTCCGAGATGTTCAAGCCCCAACTATCATCACAGGCTAAGAGGAGCCTGTTGAAGGCGATGGAAGAGCCCGAGTGGGCAGTTGGTCACTTCCCTGTGACGGGCGAGTATGATTGGGGCCTTGGAGGTCTGCTTGTTGATGGACACAGTCACCCATACCGGCGCAACGCAACTCTGATGTGGAGTGGTGCATCAAACGTTTTCTGGGTAAGTCCTCTCTCCCCCACGTGCCCTGACTTTAACAGACGTTTCTCTAACTTCTTGCAGTGGATCGATCGCCAAGCTGGGCTTTGTGGCTTCTTTGCGACGCAGATGCTCCCTGCGGCAGAGGAAGGAATCCGGCCGTACATCAAGGCATTTGAAGATGAGATGTACTCGAAGGTGAAGGGTATGAAGACTCGCGCAGTGCTTTGAGAATAGAGTAAATCCATCACACGCGCACGTAAACTTTCATTAAATCAAATAAAGTCAGAATTGACGATATATTGCCTGCAATCAAGGAGCTAGGTTGTGCATTTCAGATGTTGTTGAAATAGCGCATCACACCCCAAAGTAGAGTTCTCAACTTCTCACTTCGCTATCCCTCGGAGCATAAGTACTCATAAAGAAAAATGAACAGATTTCTCGTGGCAACCATACTGTGGTATTTTTTGTAATAAATGAACGAGCACAACTTGAGCCACGGGTCTGATGTCAACATGAAAGACAGTTGAGGCATTCGAAGTCCAAAGTTTTCGGAACTCCAGTCAAAAACGGGTTCAGAAACCATCAGATCAATCGTTTACAGCTGTTTACGGCACGGTCCGGCCGCTGCTTACAGCGCTTCGGTTGTGGCTGACATTGCGTCCGCTTTCGCTGGCAGACAAGACCCCCACTGAAAATCAAGTCGGCTTAAACCCGGCACACCGACTCTTGCGAAAGTGATAGTGTGGAAAAGGACCATTGTAAGATCACATCAGGTATCATGTCCGCGCGTCAGTCGCATGGAGGTGCATGTACTGTAACTTCAAGACTTCGGTGCCGAAAAATCATTGAACTTTCATTGACGGCGTCGCCGGTGTCTGAGGGCTGCGGTGCTATGGTCTTTCCCCTCTAGAAAGTAAGCACTTTATCATAACAGTCCAGAGTTGAGAACCAAAATTGCGGATGCATGAGGAATTGCATTCTTTCAAACTGAGTAATACTCCAGTGGTACTAGATTAGCACGTTACCTGGATTGCTTGTAGGCAAGGGGAGGAAACGTTGAGCCTGTAACGTTGCTGATGCTTCCGTCAAATCATGCGTCATGATGTCTTTCAGCGTCGATCACCGCTATCGATTTGCAAGAAATCCTGCACGCAATTTTCCAGGGAAGGAGAGCCTAAGTGGCATGACAGTACCCGGTCCACGGGACGCTCTACACCGACACGTCCGGGGTCCTAGTCTAGTATCGCTGCTCTCAGAGGTCCATGACTGGGAGGTATGCCCACTGCTCGTGAACCCCTTGAGGGATGGCACGTGTCAAGTCCCTTGGCAGTCATCGCTAGCCGGTGGAGTTGAGTCGTCCCCAGCACCCTAACTTTAAGTCTGGTTGGATAAACCACTAAAGATTCTCCACAGCCCGAGGTTCCTTTGGGATAGGTCCGTCGAAGTCTTCAAGCTGCCAACCTCTGATCCATGCACACTGCTGCACCGCCCGGTGCCCCCGGTATGATTTTGGAGGGGGGATGGGGGTTTTGCGTGTGGCCCCTTGGCCCTTGGAAGTTGGGGTTGAGCTTCAGCGGATTAAATACCTAGGCATCAGACGATCTAATCTGTAACCCTACGGTTTCTCACATCAAACCCCTCACCAACGTTGACTGACACTTTGAAAGGATTTGTGATGGCAACTTCGGGAGACGAGACGCGTTCACCTCCGACGACGGAAACCGTAGCTTCTCCATCTCATCCCGAGCTTGATCCTGAGGATGGCGCGAACCCGGCAACGGGTATCATTGTACGCTTTGATCTCCACAGCGAGCCCCCACCCGGGCAGAACGGGCAACTCTTTGCTAACCTGCGAGGCGGCGATTAGGATGCTGACGACGGAGAAACAGACTCCGCCATCAATGTCGTACGTTATACAATACATACCGCAACCGTCTTCAATGAGAAAACATGATCCGCGACAGAACCTCATTACAGGATACGAGTTAGTACCTATGCTTACCATGTCCCACCTTTTTAGTCAATTCGTGATTCCCTCACCTCCATTCGCTCGTCCATTCTCAATTTTGAGGATGAGAATGGACGTCTTTATCACTCTCATTCCCGAGGCAGTAAGTCTTCAAATTGTAAATCCAACAGCCATTAGATTGGATCTAGTCTAATACATACGCAGAATACTACTTTCCCCACGATAACGTAAGTTGAGATCGCCACGACTTATAGTAGTAATAGCTGACGAGACATCGATAGGTTGAACAAGAGCGATTGGATCTACAGCACGAGCTCTTCATGAGGACATTTAGAGGGCGCCTTTGCACATGTCCAAAGTCTTACGGTGCTAATAGAGTCCTGGATCTCGGAACGGGAACCGGAATCTGGGCCCTGGAATACGGTCAGTCATGTGCACACGGTAGACATCATCAGTCAGATTAACAGTCGAGTAGCGGAGGAGCATCCTGAGTGTGAAGTAATCGGGGTGGATATCAGTCCAGTGCAACCTGACTTGTGAGTGAAGCCACATATTCTTGAAGATACCACTCACTATTGAGGTGATACCCGCTGATAATATTCAAGCATGCCTCCCAACTGCTCTTTTGAGATAGACGACCTCGAGAAGCCATGGACATGGTCAAAGCAATTCGACTTCATCTTCTCTAGGACTTTGAGCGGCAGCATTCTGGACCCAGCCAAGCTAGTTGACAGCATCTACAAGTAAAGGATCCCTGAATATCTCCATCCCAATCGCAAGCCCAGTATTCTAATGGCTGATTATATAGCCAACTCGAACCCGGCGGCTGGTTCGAGGCCCAAGATGTCTGCATGGAAGCTCGGACCGATGACAACACACTACCCGAGAACAGCTACTTGGCGCAGTGGGCCGACGAGGTAGTTGACGCTATGGAAAAGATCAATCGGACACTCAAGCTTCCCCTCAAGTGGAAGCAGCTCCTCATCGATCGTGGCTTTGAAGATGTTCGAGAGACCATTTATAAATGGCCAACTAACACTTGGCCACGAGACAAAACGATGAAGGATATTGGCGGATGGGGGCTGGCAAACCTTGACTACTTCCTTGAGACAGCGGCTCTTGGCATCTTAACTAACATTAAGGGCTGGTCGAAGGAGGAAGTCATTGTTTTGTGTTCACAAGCGAGGAAGGAGATGCGGGATCCAAGGATCCATGTTTGGTGGCCTGTGTAAGTTGTCTCGTTGAGACAGAATGTCTGTGGAAGCTTGCTTTGAGCGCTATTACTGACTTCCCCCTGTTAGATATGTCGTTTCTGGTCGCAAGCCAGGTGCTCCAACTCAGGCGCCTGCTGAGCCCTCGACAGCTTGAGTTCCCTTATGTCGTTGAAGGATGAATGCCATTCAGTCACTGCCCTTGTCAGAGGGTCGTTCAAAGGCATCGAGTCTCTCGATATCAAAGGACACATGATTCAGATTATTGCGGCGTATGTCTAATTATTATAATGGACTTTCGCTTTGAGACTATCATACGTCGATGGAATTACCTTACATTGAGCAACTGTTTCGGGTACTTCAGTCCGGCATCTCTGTCGCAGAGTGTGAACCCCGAGGTAATCATGAAAAGGTTATGCGATCCCAATAAAACCCGCCAAGCTATAGTTCATCTGGTCTCTCTGAGCCGGCTTCGGTACCTTGGGTTTCTTGCCGAGCGCGCTTCTGACTGCTGAGTTTCTTTAGCTTACACGCGCTATTGAGACTGTCGTGGGATCAAGACAGACTTACTCTCTTCGCCTGTACATGTACCACATGAGTGAGACGCTGATGATTGCAAGACCTCCGAAAAGTATGAGAACTTGATAGCCGTACTTGTACTTTGGCGCATCATAAGTGGGAAATAGAACCACTGTGACTTTATCAGTATAAAAGACTTGAGTGGCATGTTCCAGCTTCAACTCACATGGTACCCAAAGAACCCAAGCATATGAGACGACATTAGCAGTGGCCACAAGCAGTTGTCTGAGACTAGGATCACCCGCGTTGAGTCCATTGGCCCAGCTCTACACTTAATGTCAGAAGCTATCGTGAAAGTGATTTTTGCGAGGTACTCACAATGAGGACCGGAGTTGCTGCGGATCCAGCATACGAAAGGTAGTACGCAAACATCAACGCTCCCTTGGGGATATACCACACTGAAAGCAGGATGTTGGACAAAATCATCAGAGCCTGAACGATAACAATCATTGTATAGTTCTGTCCGGTTCGGTCTGCGATTATGCCCCAGATGACTGTGGCAACGATGTTCAGAGCACTGCCGCCGGTGGGATAGATGTTTGCATCTACAACACTGTAGCCAGCAGACTTCAGCCAGAGGTTGAAATAGCTGGTGGCTGTGTGACACGCCGCGACCATACTGCCAGCTAATGTGAGCAAACTTTGAAATAGATGTACCTCTTCAAGAGTGTAACTCACGTGTATGGCACAACGAATACCCAGATCTCCCAACCGAGGTAAATGCGCTTGGCCTCCTTCCATGTCAACTTTTGCTGAGCCTTCTGCCCAAACTTCTCAATCCTATCGATACCATATTTGACATGCTGTTGTGAGTGAGTCATTAATTATCACGCAAAATCCGGAAATGGGGTAATCACGTACCTCGGCTGACCAGTAGAACGCTTTCGTGTTATGAGGCAGGTCAGGCAATCCAAAGAAGCCCCAGAAAGCAATTGGAAGCGAGATGACCGCGTCCATGATGAACAGCCATCTCCAACCTGCAATTCCATGACGACCATCCATGCTGGTGTACAGCCCTGCTTGCAAGTAACCGCTGAACATACTGGCAATGGACTCGACTTGCAGTAGTATGGCTAGGCGTTTAGTGAGCTCTTTTGGGCCGTACCAGCCACCCAACATAGCGATGTATCCTGGGAAAGCACAGGCCTCGAACAGGCCGATAAAGAAACGCAACGCGTACATCTTGTGTCGGAAGTTAGTGATATGAGCTGTGATGTCTTTTGTAGTCTGCACTTACCGTCTTGATATTCTTGGAAAACCCCATGCCGATGACAAGCAGCGACCAGATAACCTCGCACGATGGAATGAGAACCGAGGGGCGGATGAAACTGAGTTGTGACATCTGAGCTGGAACACTGCCGACCATAATACCCAGACTGAACCAGGTATTCAGCCAGTTGCGCTCATTTCCATAGAGGCCCAGATCACTCTGCATGCCGCTGATGAAGGCATTGCCTGACAGCCAGTGTCAGTAATCTCTAATGCACAACCTAAAGGGATTGAATCACTGTAGTTTGTCTGATCAAGGTACTTTATGAAATACCCGAAACAAACCGTAGGACTGGAGGGCAGATGGAATTTGTTAGTCCTGGGAAAGTAAGGCCATACGACGCATGGAAAGAGGCTGGACTCACAAGAAGAAAGTATCGAGCCTTTGAACGTATTTCAGATACTCTGGATCTCCGTCAACAGAGTCCCATACAAGACCGACAATCTTCCGCCACCGAGAAGGGGATTTATCGGGGATTGCCTCTGCAGCGTTTACTGGGGTTGTGTCTTTGGCGTTCTTATCCAGATCCGAAGTAGTGTCTGACACTGCCACAGGGGCAACGGACTTGTTATCCGACATTTCGGTCAGTGATTGGTGCCTAGAAAAAAGGTTTCTGCACGCTCGTCCCAGCAATCTGGTTTGGCGATGCTGTTCGGTCGACCTCAGATCGCTTTATACTTCGGCTTCTCCAAGAGAAACGATTTTTTCCGAAGCATCTAACCGCCTTGAATTCATTCATGGGTACTACTGACATGAGCTATATAACTCTCTATGCCTGATTTGCTACAGGCGGATGATGCCATTGCAATCCTTGTGAGCGAGCTCACCTCCTTGACTCCTTCGGACCCCGATTTTGTTACAAAATCGCCTTGAATGCAATCTCCATGTACGCGCAGACAAAACCTCTTCTATCTAGAGGCTTTTTAAATGAACGACAGTTCGTCAAGGTAGTTGTGCCGTTCTCGGCTGTTGCAGCAGAAGGGATCCAATGTCGTGACTGGCCGCCCCACCATGTCGTTATCTCACTCCGCTCTGTCGCCTTGCTTGATGTCCGGCATCTTTGCCGGTGCTTGACAGCTTCCCGGCAAATTTCTTGCACGATCAATGGTGGCCATTGAAAAAAAGACTTAACTTCATTTGGGTGTAAACAGCCAGGCAAATTTTATTGCATAATATCTCAACTTCATTCCATGAAGAAAGCTTTTGAGGGAAACATCTCCGTATCTGAAATTCATCACGTTACGTTGAGAACAAAAGCCAATGCTATGATTATAGACCTTAGGGGCACGAGAAGATCGTTTGGAACACCTTGAGCCGATGACCTGTGGAAGGTAAGGATAAGAAGCCGAGTGCCGTTTTTGTCTATTGAAGGCACAGAATCCATGTCCAGCTGCAAGCCGGAGAGAATTGTTCCATCCGGACTGTGCATGTACCCACAACTCCCATGGCAAGGTATATCCTCCTCTGTCCGTGATCGCAGGGTAGCTTGATGTTTTATTTCCTCCGGTACTTATTTCTTGCCTGCAATGCTGATACCGTCAGTTCGAGGAGAACACATTCTGACCAGCCCCTATCAACCAATTATCACAAGCTTCTTGATAAGAGGACGCTCTTCAAGCTTCATACAGCATGACACCGGAGATTCTTCGACTATCTTTAGAGAATATCGATTTTCGACTTCCGACACAAGTCACAGACGACAGTAGTGTGACAGCACTCAAAAGTTTAGTCTTCGAGCCCCTCCTCCGATGGCAGCCCCATGGCCGTGTTAAGCCCGGGCTTTTTGACCGATGGGAGCATTCTCCCGATGCCCGAATCTGGCACTTTCACATCCGAGACGACGCCTACTTTCATGACAAACAGCCTTGCAAGGCTAAGGACATTGTCACCTACATCCATGGCCTTCTAGACTCGAGAGACTACTTCGGCATGCGCTGGAGTTACAGTCGCTATTTCGCGCAAACCAAGTTCTCTGCTGAGGATGGTCAAACTGTGAAAGTAACAAACGCAGAACCATTTGCGGATATCGAGGGTGTGTTGTGTGAATTTTGGCCTTCCCGCATCGACAAGAATGGCAAGCCGGTGCTTGGAACGGGCCCGTTCCGAGTCATCGAGTTCGAGCGAGAAGGTGGCACCGGTAGAGCTGTTCTACAGCGGCTGAATCCAACGCGACATGGTTCACCTCATACCATCATAGCGGCGATGGAGCCGGATGCTACCGAAAGACTTCGGCTTCTACGTGCAGGAGAGGTCGATGCTGCTCTCAATCTTGAGCGGGTCGATGATCTCAAACTTCTGGATTTCGACTCTGCTCTTCGATGGGGCAGAGTGACGAGCACTTTATCGGCTATTTACTACCTCAACTGTACCGAGGGTGTCTTTACTTCACCAGAGGTACGTCTAGCTGTGAACCTTGCGTTGGACAATGATGCATTGGTAAAGGAAGTATACCATGGGTTCGCAAAGTCATCCGCTACCATCGTCAGCCCCTATCATCTTGGGTTTCCGGAGTCGCAATTACAACCGGTTCCATACGACCCCGACAGGGCCAGAGATCTTCTCAAGAATTCTGACAAAAACACGCATCTGGTTTTGAGAACCCCGGTCTACATGCCAGAGCATGCCCAAAAGATCTCAAAATTCGTGGCATCGTCATTGAAAGCTGTTGGCTTTAAGGTCGAAGTCAAGGTCGAGACCAATCGACCAGAATACGCCCGCCAAATCGGTCTCAAAAAGGAGATTGGAAGCCTCGCCTTATTCGACTCAACACCAAACAGCACGTTTCGTGTTTTGGACGACAAGGTTTCTAGTTCATCGCATGCAACGTGGTGGCTTGGTTATCACGATGATGAGGTTCAAGAACTATTTCAAGAGGCACGAAACAAAATTAGCTACGAGGACAGAGCTGAACTGTACGCGAAAACTCTTCAGCGTTTGCAGCAGAATCCTCCTTGGTTGTATATAGTGCATCCTGACGTTATTTGGGCAACACAGCGTGATGTTGAACTTGAGATTGGGCACTCAGGAGTACTCACACTGGATTGAAGAGCCGTAGTTCGAGGAGTACAAGAGGATGTTGCAGAAATCATTTGAGGTTCAAAAGCCTTCAACCTTTTGTGGTGATATTCGAGTACTTGTATACATGCAGTTGCGAGCAAGAGTGAAGCCATCTGGATCTTGTTCATGTGAGATGCCGACAAACTTGCGGCCCTCATAGCCCAACCTTCTTGATGCCCTCTTCCCAAAGCAATCCCACTGTGAGTGCCTTCTGCGGAGCCTTAGCAATGGGCCCGAAGACCCGGATCCACTCATATAACGCCTCGGTACATAAGCCGGCCGATGTCGCCGACTGCTCTACACCTTTCAGTCCGACACTTTCTTGAGCGCCGTAATCTTTCGAGCCTGCAATGAGCTTTTCGGTATCCATCGACAGCCTGCAAACGGCAGCTAAAGGCTATGGCGCCGAGCCACTCCTAGCTCTGCCAAATGGTGCGACTGTCGATTTATCGAACGGTTACATTCCCCTACTCGTGCGATACACTTTCGAAGACAAGGCCGCCCAAGGTCTGCGGAAGCGCAAGGCCGGCGACAAGCCGGAAAATCCGATCTACTTCTCTGCTCTGGAACTCGTTCGCGACAACTCAATTTTACTCTTGACGGGACCCAGTGGGAGCGGGAAAACTACGTTTGCTATGCATCTTTGCTATAGTCTGGCTTCCTCCAGATTCAGCGATGCGCGACAACTATCTCGAAACGACCTTGGTGACACCAAGGAGGAGTACTGGGGCACCGCTAGACTGTCTCCATGCTATTTTCTATTGAGTGGCATCGAGTCTCTGGAAGAATTGGCTGAAGTGACGATCCCGAAACTACTTAAAACATCTGATCCTCGACGTGAGGGTCTGCTTATCGTCCTCGACGATCTCCAGAACGCAGGGGACGAGTTGATCGCTACTCTAGCAAAGATACTGACCCTACTACGAGGGCGAACCTACACAAAGCTGCTTTTGTTGGGCGATGCAGGTGTTCTCAACCGCTGGAGCTTCCCAGCCGAAATCGTCCGTCACGATCTGCTTCCCTTGCTAGAGTGTCAGAGAAGGGAGGCAGTACGTTTTCACCTAAAGTTGGAACCGTCGACTCTCATAACAACTGGCATGGGTGCAGCTGCATCGAATCCAACCTTATTCGCTCTTGCGATTCAAGCCAATCACTCTGGAAACTATGCCGAGGAGCTGCTAGATGCGTGGCTTTCGTACACCTATTCGCAGCCAGATGCTGCATCGCTTTTAGCAGACAAGGCATACAAGTTGATATCATGTGGCCTGTGGAACGACAGCCTGAGTGAGATATCGTTGTCCACGATTCAACCTAGTCCTGCTTTACGAAGCCCGGCGGTCCAAAGTCTGCTAGCTGCACGGCACCTAGCTGGTGTAGCACCGCAAATTGCTGTCGACCTCTTCCGTGATCAACCTCAAGCTTCAAATCGTGTTCTAAGGAGCTGTTTATTGCGTCTCGGCTCCTCACACAAGTCTGCCGCCCTTGTTGACGGGCTCCTCGGAGGTACGCCGGCTGACGCTAAGCGCGCTGCCTTACTTGTGGCTGGTCTCATCCCATTATCCGCGGAAGTAGAAAGCAAGGTTAAAAGCCTGATTCTGAAAATCGTCGAGGACGGGGATTTGTCGGCTGGCAAGCGTGAGAAAGCTGGTCGTCTATTGTCACGATATGGCGACCTACGAGATCTGACTGGCCTCGTAGAGGTTCCCGCCGGAAGCTTCATGATGGGCTCTGAAAGCCATCCCAACTCGCAGCCTTTGTATAGGATCTCACTTGAGAGGTTTCGCATCGGACTCTATCCTGTCGTCAACAGGGATTATGGTGCCTTTGTGAAAGATACTGGCCGCTACTGGATTAGTCCTGATGGCGAGGACCCGGAGAGATCAAATGCACCAGCGACCGACCTTACATGGCATGACGCGAGGGCTTACTGTCAATGGCTCACAGAAAGGTGGAGAGAGGAGAAAAAGATCGGTTCAAGTGAGCATGTCAGACTTCCGTCAGAGCCAGAATGGGAGCGCGCGGCCAGGGGTGACCATGATGAGACGGGCACTGAAGGGTTGGTTTTCCCTTGGGGTTCGAATTGGCAGGAAGATGCTGCCAATGGCGACGAGACTGCCTTCAATACGACCTGTGCTGTTGGTCTCTTCCCAAAGGGGCGCTCGCCGTACGGCTGCTACGATATGGCGGGGCATGTATGGGAGTGGTGCTCGACTCTCTGGGGCGAGGACATGACGACGCCAGCTTTCCATTATCCTTGGCGGGATGATAAGCGAGAGTCTCTAGATGCCTCGGATCATGTTCGAAGAGTTCTGAGAGGCGGATGCTTCTCCAGCCCAAAGTTGAAGGCAAATTGTACGTATCGGGGTAGCCTTGAACCAACCGGATTCTGGAGAGGGAATGGGTTCCGCATCGTTGTTGCGTCGCTAGACTCATAAGTCTGAAAGAAAGCTGGTAACTCTACACTATAAAACCTTCAAGATCGATACACTCTCAACAATGAGACTCGTGCTCAAACTGGTTATCCTTGGCTTCATTTCATTGCGTCAAAGACCGGCAGAACGCGGTTATATGCCGGTCATGCCGGAATTCGGCGGGTCCAACTTCGAAAGTCCCGGCACGATGGATATAGCCCAGATTTCGGCCGGTGTCGGGGCAATCGCGGGATCTGGCCGGAAACACAATAGTGGATAAGCATCGCGTCATGTCGCCTGGGCCCGGGAGTCTGGTTCGTGTACGTGCAGCTTGACTTATATGTCCGCCTGATCTCTGTCAGTCTGTCTAGATGGTCTTCTTAACCTTCTTTCTCCAAGGCTGGCTATTATTTTAAGGATTTGAAAATATACCTAGCAGCTTACCAAGCTAGATCGAACGTGTCGGTCAACTTCCGCAAATATGCCGATTATTCCCGGGTTCAAGCTTCCGGTGGATGCGAGCGCCCTAGGGCGGTATACGACAAATTCCACAGTCCCCTTTTTCATCACATTCACCACGTCGGACCATCCTGATACGGGAGAGTCATGGTGCCCAGATGTCCGAGCCGCACTCCCTCATATCATAGCCGCCTTCTCGCCTTCGAGCGCACCGGAGATGGCCTTCGTCGAAGTAGGACAGCGGCCTGAGTGAGTAGCTGAAAGCTTGACCTTAGCAATCTGTTGGGGCGAGCATCCGCTAAATATTAGTGGCAAACCAGGTGGAGAATCCCTACGAATGTGTTCCGCACCAGGTGGAACGTCAACAATGTGCCAACAACTGTTCGGTATGAGCTTTCAGACGGCGAAGTGAGAGAAACGGGTAGACTGGTAGAAGATGAGATACTGGATGAGAAGCGACTGAGAGGATTAATCCGCAATAATTCATGAGATGTCGACCTAAGGTAGGCCCGAGCCTCCCCTCATGCGCGAGGGGCTTGGGTGGTAAGCTTTCAGGCGGGATGTAAGCGCCATGGCAAAGCTTATTTTCCTGGCCAAATGATCACCATCGTTGCTTTTCACACAATACCATCACCGTCGCATTGCTCGGCTGGTTATTGTCCCAGGCAGCAGCATCTAATTTGCCGTCTTAGCCGCTTGTTCAAGCTTAAAATGACGAGCCTGTGCCGCTCGCTAACATCGATCAGTACTAGTCTATTGAGCCAATCTCGGCCGCATTGGCTCCCGTTTGCTGGTGCTGAGGATCAGGGGCAAAAATGAATCCTTCGGAAAATTCTCAGTCATCGCCAACAAACATCGTATTACGGTGCGTGTCGTTCCATTGTGAAAACTGTCTTCTCCTCCCACAAATCATCAGTTTCCTTGTAATACTCGTCCCCTGTTCTATCAACGTTATTTCATCAGTCGCTCGCTATATTCTCATGATCAGACTCTCGACGCTTCGAACATGATCTCATCAACATTCCTCTGCCCAATGGGCGTTTTGCTAGCAGGCGCGTCGCGTGCCTTGGCGTTCGACCGCATCAGCATCCCAACCACAGTCAAGGCCGACACCGACGTCGAAGTCACCATCCAGAACGATATCGCATCCGGAAGTAAGTCTTTCGACGCCGGTTTTACCAACTACAACCTCTACCTCTCAACCACTCCACCGGGATGGGGCACCGGCCCCGTGTGCGTCCTGGCCAACGGGACAAAGATCGACGTCACCTCCGTGAAGGTGAAGATCCCGGCCGACGCGATCCCTGACGGCTCCGAATTCAAGATCACGGCGATGGAGTGGAACTCGGACCCGACCAAGGACGGGCCGTCCGGCTTCGAATACAGCAACGACTTTTCCTTCTCGGGCGGCACTGGAGAATGGGGCAAGACGGAGCTCGGGGGCTCCACGCTGGGCGACATGGATCGCATCCCGTGCACGGCGTACGCATGCGCACGCAACTGTAACGACAAGTACTTTGATGAGAGGAACACGACAAGCCAGGATCCTAGCGTCTACAAGAACACGTATGAGTGCGTCGCCGCGTGTCCCGGCACGACATTCCCGTCCTGGGATTCAATTATCAACGACAACGGGGATGGCTCGGGCTCCAGTGCGGGACCCTCGGGAAGCGCTTCGGCTACGGCAACAAGATCCGGTGCGTCGGCGACAGCCTCAACGTCCCCGACAGGATCTTCTACCTCTACCCCGACAGCAGCACAAAGTAGCAGCTCACCGTCTCAGACACCTAATGGTGCCGTCACGGTCAATGCCAAGGCCTCTGGCCTTGTCTTTGCTGGCTTGGCCATCGCGTTTGGCTTTCTCTAGTCATGAATTCGGTGATTATGGATCATGTACGGGTCATTTGTAGTGTAGGATAAACCGTTTACTATCCCCAGATATTTAGACATTCCTTAACATTACTCATCAAGCCAATGGCTTTGGACACTACTCTTATTTCTTGGCGAGAGATCCCAATGGGGAAATGTATTCCACTCATGATTATGACAAATCCCATATCGCGAGACCGACAATCCCCGGGCATGGAAATGACCATACAATCCCTAGGAAGTCGGGTAGCGTCTCACCTCGTCCCATGTTGATGCATCGGCCTAGGACAGAATCAGTAACAATCTCCCCGTGGTAAGACGCATATGCGATCCTAGCGACAGTTTCTTGGGTCCCCGAACCGTGAACTTTAATAGTGACAGCTGCATCTACGGATAGTCAGTTGCCCACAGATACAAGCTTGACAGACTGAGTGGGCGGGGGAGATCTTAATCCTCTGATAAATAAACGATTCCGATGCATGCTTTGCCATTTGCCCGCTACGCGCACAACAAGGGCTATTCCAGTGTAGCCGAGGTTCAGGTCCTCTAGACATGATTTAGCCCGAGAATAGGTTACACACGAAATGCGAAGTGGGTGTTTCGCATTGTGCCTGCGCGTGGCAGGAGCATCCCACACCGTCAATGTAGTACCTATGGCTCTTACAAAAGCAGCAGACTTACCAGTGGCCTGGGTCGGGTACGCCTTACTATGCTTGTTGCTCGCAACGCCACTGAGAAAGACGCATCTGAAGGTCTTATTGATCTAGATTCGGGAAGCCGACCAAGTTGATTATTTGCTAGATAGGTACCTTGCACTAGCACCGATACATCCTGATTCGTGATCATTCTTGAGGCAGCACAATCATTTATAGTTTGCCTTCAAACAAATGGCTCCAAACTCCTGGTTCATAGGCTTATGAATCATAACAAATTACCAATGATCATCCTTAGCCTCAAGTGTTCAATAGTCGAATGCATACTATGACTCAAGACCGCTGTGAGTTTACTACATGCACATGATTTCATAGCCGTGTTGGCCGTCGTAGAGGCGGCCGCCAGCAAGAGTCCGTGAGTACCTTGACGATGTGACTACAGCAACCCACATCGAGTTTCCGATATTGTGTAGAATCAACATGAACGGCGAACACGACGACTTCCTGGTGTGCGTCTGCTTACTTGAAGAGGCTTCTCGTGTTCATGAATTTTTCGATAGAGGGGCAAGTGCAGAGGCTGCGTGGTCATTGCCGAGTAAGAGCCCCGAGATCCAGTTTCCGAAATATGAACCTACGGAACTGTTTTGGATTCAGCCCGTAGGACTTGCTCGTGGTAGGGGGTCAGCTCTGGCCGCACTTTGTATCCTCGTAGTTCTTGCGAAGAAAATACCCAAAAAGGGGAAAAGAAGATTTGCCCTCGCTTGATGAAATCTAGTATAACTCGTAAACGTACAACTGTCGGAGCATTAGGTACTTTTCGAAGTTCAGCTTGCTCCGATTCTCGAAGTCTGCTTATGGTGTACCTGCAGGGATTGTTGGAGCTAGACCGGACATAACTCACAGTAAAGCCCGTATGATGACATGTAATATAGAAGCTCGATGCACTCCGCCTAATCCACAACCCATTGATACAACGTACGGAGTACTTACCTTAGGTAATTCAACGTAGCCCATATCAGGTAAGCGTTCCGCAAAGGAAGGCTTGCCTTTACACGAGATTTGCAAGGTATCGTCGGCGATTTCTAATCAATTCGGCCACATATTATCTCCGTCTTACTGACGTTCATGTTCAAATTGTCGGCATTGCGGATTTTACACGATTTTGATATCTTGGATGATGGGCCTTGCAGAAATTGGCACAGGGGACTGAAAATTATAACGTACGTGTAGATCCAACGGTACAGAAACTCTACATACCCTTGCCTGTTTTCTTAGCGTTAGTGGTCGAGTTGGGATATCATCCGCCGAGTCTCCGCCAGATGTAGCTGGCAAACTGACAAATCATGACTGCTTTTCGGTCTCGCTTCTGACTAGTAAGCAGAACATCGCTCCTGAAAAGCTTGTGCTGTCCTGCTAATGTATGCGGAAGGTCCGCTCTTTACATACAAAACTGCACCGGCCGGGCTTAACCTATTAGAGTCTAAACAGCTACCCCTGTCTTGATTCTTCCAACCCAAGCCCGTGCGCCCCCGCGAGTTCCACGGTTTCCGCGGCTCACAAAAACAAAAAGGCTCGAAGAACCCGTAAGCAAAAGGGAAGCTGTAGCCGTACGGAATCTCAGCCCGACCTAGTAGTCCAAAGGCAGTCGTCGAGAGGGCATCCTTATTACTTGAAATCCGACGACGTGGGTTTTCTATCACATCATGGACCCAGAGCCGCATACACCCAAAACAAGCGTCATTCCTAGAGCTGTATGCCTTCCCTTTCGGAATCCGCGCCTGGGGATCGAGTATGCTAACCACCGGTATCCCACTCTAGTGCCACAACTGTCGGATCCGTAAGGTACTTATCATTCTATGTCCGAGTCCCCTGTCGTCAATGGCCGGCCGAGACCTTCCGGACCTGGTCCGCGGCACGCGTTCCGCGCCCTCGCCTCCGCGCTCCCTTTCGCTTAGCATTCGAATGATCACAATCGCGGGACTGACGAGTAGGATTCTAGACACGCTGCAATCGAGAGGTTCCTTGTTCCAACTGCGTCACATCGAAAATTCCATGCCGACCGGCAGGGCGACACACTGCACAGCGGCCAACGGTTGAAAGGGTCGAAAGGTACGGGTGACAAATGGCGCTGTCACCGAGTGATTTTGGGTTTGAGCTGACATTTCAGCCGCAGCCAAAGTCCTGGTGCGCCGACTATTCATCAACTACATGAGAGATTGAAAGCCGTCGAAGAATCTCTCAGGAATCAAAATGACCAGCACGGCAATAGGGCGACGTCAATTTCTACGCCAAATACGATCCCGACCATTGAGGATGATGCAGTCTCACATCACTGTCTGTGGGAAGACCACCACGTCTCGTACCAGGGCGAATCTTCGTTCAGGCAACAGACTCTACTTGCAAGTCAGATAGAGGAACTCCGACTTGAAGAGGCGCAGACCCCGGGCGTGATTGACGAGCTTGCAACATTACGAGGGATATGCCAACGACAAGAGACCCCCGTAGAATCGCGATCGAACCGAAAGATTCGCCAACCTCATTCAACAAAAGGGGCAGAGCTACAGCTTCCGCCATCCGAGTTCGTGATTCGTCTTCTTCGGACTGTGAGCCGTAGGTCACCCCAAGCAGGTTCTCAATCTCGGCCGAGTACCTTGGCTAAACTATCTTCAAAACCAGATCACTCCATCTTGTTTCTATTCTACGCAGTCGAAAATCGCATCCAAGTCGAAGAACTTTGTCGAAGGGTGTACTTCTCTGTAGAGCCAGTGACGATTGGAGAAGTGACCTTGCTGAATGGCTTCTTATCGGTGCTCCTCAGAGACATCGATTTCGAGTCAAATCCCGAATTCAGTCCGGAAGAAGCCAACCGTTTGTACACCATGTGCAACTCCAACTTCAAGGCTGGAGTCGAGACTTACGAAGTGATGGCGGTACCTACATTCGAGCATACTCTCATATTATCCATAGCGGTCAGTAAAGCGCGAGTCTGGTCCGTGCTATGCTTTCGAGACGGTCGAACGTGTGGACTGACTGGAGTTTCGGGCACGTAGTGTCTGAAGGCACAACAGGATGGCAACTTGCCGCTACAATGGAGCCTAATGTCCGCTGCCGCCCGACATGTCCTAGCATTAGGTTATCATCGAAGGGGGAAGTTGGCCGCGTTACCGAACCAAGAAGCGCGGCGGGCACGACGACTCTTCTGGCACGTATACTTCGCAGACCGGGGACTGACCCTCACACAAGGTAAAGCGCCAGTTATACAAGACATTGACGTCGACGTCGAGCCATTCGAAATAATTCAGACGCCGGAGAGGAAGCCCTGGGATACTTCATTCTCCGCATTCATCGAATTCGGGAGGATACAATGCAAGATCTACGAAAAGCTTTACTCTCCAGCAGCATCCCGTTCTACGGGGGAGGAGAGGCGGGCCGTAGCAGCCCATCTCGCAAAGCGCCTAGCGACGTGGTATGAATCATGGCGCAGTGTCGACTATTCCCACGCATACCGAGTAGAGCTGTTTCAGTTCACGTTCGATGCTCTCGAGGTCGTTTACTATTCCATCCTAACACTCATACATCGTGGGGCAAGCCGCTCGAATGCAGCCAGCGCCATCACGGAGGAATGCTTCGAGGCAGCCAGGAAAGGCCTGACTGCCCATGCAACTGCATACCCCCGATCCGCTTCGGGAGGATATGCCTCTCTATTCACTTACGCCGTCTGGTATGCGACCTATCCTCGTTTCAAATATCAAAGACTGTCAACTAATTCTTGAGCAGGACACAGCTCTATTCCTCGTATACGCCATACATTATCACCTTTCTCCGCTGTATCAGGAACTCAGACGATCAAGACCTGAACCTAATGCGCTCCTCTCTGGAGATCAGCGAGCGCCTAAGTGGCTTGGTGGAATCTTGCAAGAAGCAATATGAATTATGTCGGGCCCTGTACCGCATAGCAGAGGCTTACATCAAGGCGAAGAAGGGTGTCGCGTGTACTGCCGTACCAGCTGAGACCACCATCACTCTACCCCTACAACAACCGACGACAGATAGCTGGCCCTGCTTCGAGTCAAATCTGGAGCCGAATGCGTTTACGGACCTGCACGTCGATGACTGGAATGGCTCCTACATGGGACAGATGTCATTCACACTGGAGAACCATCTGGGCAAGGGCGGTCATTAGCTAAGATGATAGCAAGCCACCTCAAACTATGTCCTGTTTCCAAATTCGGTTAAAATATGACCTGATGCCCGAATTATAGTTCATCCAGTGTAAAGGAGTCCAAGGCCTCCTTCAATATTGCCTCGGTCGGTCAATCCACTTCCAGCTAAGGCCCCTTCGCAGAATCGGGATGACTACGAAGCTTCTAAGATTCGGTGACATCGACTCCAGGTCACATAAGTTTGCTAGACATCATCGGGGCCTATCCAGACTAATAGTCAGGCTTCTTTCAAGAAGGGGCTGGCTGGCGGCTTATAGATGATATAGTCATCAGGCCTATTGCCAAACTCTCTAGGCATGCCCGGTGTCGTTCGTCTATGTGGTCACTGGAATGTCGTCCTGTCCATCTGAAGCGGCTTGCGTCCATACCGGCAAGTAGGTTATAAGGGTCAAATAGTATGATTTCATAAAAGCATCAAACCAGGAAGGTCCAAAAAAGAGTTCACCCCCCCCCCCCCCGCGGGTGCTGAACTGGGGGCTACATCTCTGGTGCTCATGCTGGGATTCGAACTCGGGTACTCGCTGAGCCTGTCGTCGAGTAGGCTGGTTGGCGTGGAATTAATTGTCGAACTTAGACCACTCCACCACCCAGCCAGTTTGACCTGACCCGTCGACCTAGACGGGCGCCTGCTGGCTGGTGACTGTAATGGAGTTGAAGGGGCATATATGGTGTTCAGGTCCATGTGTGGCTGAGAGGTTATCGGATGAAAGTTTAGTGGCTGTGGTCCGCTCTGGTCCTCCAACGCCAGAAGCAGGCACGTTCTTATGGAAAGGAAGGTACGACTAGCAACACATACCTTGCCCTAAGAGGACATACCTTACAATTGAGGTAAGGTGGGATAAGAGTCATCCAACGGCGAGAATCTCTCAACTATGTATACTTCTCGAGCCAAAGTAGTGTGTATCGCGTGCATGGTTTGGGCAGCCCACCGTGATGGACTTTGTGGTGAAGAAGCAGAAGATGAGGAAGAGCCCCGAGGAGCAGAAACTCGCGGGGATGTCGCGTTTAACTTTTTGAGGTAGTTGGAGTTCAAAATCCACTCCTAAGGTGGGCGCCGATACCAACTCAATCAATCATCGGGCGGAATCGTGCTCACTAACCCTTGACCTTGGTCCGTATCCGCCGCCATTTACCCGCCCGGCCCATACTTGTACATGAGCATTGGCAAGGGTGAAGGAGGAGATATTGGGGCTCTGAGAGCCTCAGGATATGCCGTACTACCAAACACCCATATCAGAACCTCATCGGAGCTTGGGACAGTGCCTGCAACGGGGTTCATCCTTTGTCTTGGTGATGACTTTGATGCGCACCCGCAGCTTCGAGGCAACCGCACTTCTAGCAGTCACGTACTTCTTGGCCTCTCACCCAGAGGTTTTGTCCAAACTTAATCACAAAGTCTTGACTTTGTTCCAATCGGAGGAAAACATCAACACCAATTCTCTCCAAAACTTCCGACTGGACCCGCCTCTTCCTCGCTCTTCGCCGTTGCTGGTGCATAAGGGAGGCGACACTTTCTGTGCGTTCTACGTGCCGGAAGGCGTAAGTTGCCCTCTTTATACTGCCATCCGTTGAAAGACTAAGATACAAGAGCTGTGGATAGCGTTCACTAATTTCTTGTACAGACTGTCGCAGTAATTCCCCTGTGGGCGATGTATCACAGCTCTCAGAACTTCACACTCGCCAGTGACCAAAGAGAAGCCAGGAAGCCCTTTAGTTTTAATCCAAGGAACTACATTGGAATGAAGTAGGTCAAAACTGGAATGCGTTTTAACAAGACGTCGAGTGTCTGGGCTAACAGACCAAACTATCCTCGCATACCCGGTAATCAGGATTATATGAGCCAGGATCATTTGGAATATCGAAATCAGACCTTCTGATGAGAGTTGAAGGTGGATCGAGGGGTAGGAGACGTGGGTTGTTTTGGGAAAGTCCGTATTGAAGGTGTACTTGACACATCAGGATGTGCTTACGTCCAAGGGGTTAAAGCCAATTCTTGGGCGGGGTGTGACCTCCGCTTGCGATGGACTTTCAAGTCATGGTGCGGAATCCAGAGGATTCTAGCCAGATTCAGCTTGCACTACCTCACTCGGCATAAGCTCCAAACATGGAAATGCGAAAGAAGTAGGTATCAGAACTTAAGAATCTGGGTTCAAGAATGGTCATTGAGCAATTCTCGTGATGATGGCAATCAGAGGGGCTAATTCTACCTGAATTGGTCCTGTGGATCACATGGACGATGCGAAAAACAAGCGATTCGTCAATTGGCCAGACTGAATACGACTATGCTGTCATTAGACTCGTCAACTTCTGTGGTCTTCATCTCGATATGCCTCCCGGGTGCGAATGTAACCCATGTCAGAAGTTCCCCTTCCACACAACGTCTGCGTCTTCCGCGTATAGGCATCGCACCTAGCCATCGAACCCCAGATCCGATTCTGGGGATGCGGGGTACTACCCATACCCACAGTAGGTCACAGCAAATTACACCAATGGTTAAAAGTAGGATATCGGGGCTTCGATCGCCCCGTAAACTCGGCATAGCAAGTGCTTATCATATCTGTTTATGTTTGTTCTTCCACATTGAGCCATTTCAAGCGCTTGCGATAGCACTCGCTAGGAGACGTATAAGAATGTCCAAGTTCATGAGGCAACCATAGCAATGTCTCTTGAAGATGATAACCATAGATTGTTACCGATAATCAACATGGCTCGATTTCAGCTCTTCTACTTGTTATCCACTTTGGTCCTCTTTGGATATGTTGAAGCTCAAGAAACTACCACCAGTGACTTGACAAAGTTGCCTCAGTATCACTACAAGCCTAGGACGTTCATTCTGACGGACATTCTCAATGAGCCCGATGATCAGATGTCAGTGGTTCGCTATCTGACCTACTCAAATGAGTTTGAAACCAAAGGTCTGGTTGCCACAACTTCCGTTAGCATGCCAAACGAAACGCACCCAGAGGCTATCGAGCTTATCATCAGAGCATATGGCGAAGTTGTTTCCAATCTAAACAAGCATGTGCACCCCAATGCAACCTTCAGTCCAGCCGAAGACCTTCTGAAACTTGTGAGATCAGGCCCAGTGGTAAATGATGTCTCCTCTTCCAGGCGATTGTCAACGCTCTTCATTGACTTATCATCTTCAGGTTTACGGCCGGCAGGCTCTCGATGAACCGTTAAGCGACGGCGCCAGACTTCTTGTCGAAGCGCTTGAAGCGGACGTCAATCCGTTGTTCGTATCCATTTGGGGCGGAGCCAACACCCTAGCGCAGGCCTTGCAGTTCTTCCACGCAGAACGAACTCCCAGTGAAGCAGCCGAGCTTCGTTCCAGGCTTCGGGTCTACTCGATCTCGGACCAGGACGATTGCGGCCCATGGATTCGAGCGAACTGGCCAGATATCACGTACATCGTCAACGTGCACGGCTTTCGGGAATATCAAGCGTCCACATGGAGCGGCATAGGCGGTTCAGATAATGGTGCTTCCAACGTGACGAAAACACAAGATGACTGGCTGACTCCCAACGTCCGCATCGGCCCCCTAGGTCAGGTGTATCCCAAGATTCTCTATGGAATGGAGGGCGACTCTCCCAGCTTCATGTGGCTTATTCAAAACGGTCTCAACAGTGCCGGGCGCCCAGACTGGGGTGGTTGGGGTGGTCGGTACAGTCGTGTAACCGAGGCCGCGGACATCAATGAATATGGCACATCCATGGATACAGCAGTTTCCGTCTCTGGGCTAGATCATCAAAGCCCAGGTGCCACAGTTTGGCGGTGGCGAGACGCCTACCAAGACGACTTTGCTGCGCGAATGCAGTGGACGGTTACGGATGGTTTCGAAGGCGCAACGCATCCACCCAATATCGACGTCAATGGCTCCGTCAGTTTTGATGCGATGGAGATCTTTCTATCGTCCAAAGACTCCGTTGTATTAGATGCCAGCGAAACCTATGATCCTGATCACCCCGAAAGCTCTACTCATCTTGAATTCGAATGGTATGCCTACACGGAAGCCTCCGTCGCTTGGGCAAGTGGATATCTCGCGGGACTCATTGAGATCCGTCCTCTATCGCCACCATCTGGCACAAACGGTTATCTCGAGGTCAACAATGCAGGGTTCAGGAAAGTCACGATTGGTCCGAGGGTCCAGATCACGAACAATGTGCCGAGCATCTCGCGACTTAAGGGAGCATCTTGGCATGTCATTCTACAGGTAAACAACAACAAGGGCCAACATCCCGTTCGCAGGTATAAGCGAATCCTGATTCAAGATTCGGAGAGCAAGAGTTGAATGGAGAACAAAGAGCTTCCACTCCATGGTCTGTAGTCTAGGTAATATCTTCAATCTCCGGGGCCGCGAAGTCAAGGATTCTGGGGGAGGCCAAAGGCAGACATTTAGGACGAACTTTTCCCAACTCGCAGTGCTATCTCTAGTCAATATCTCCCCTTGTTCGAAAAATCCTGTGCACGTAAAGTAATTTACGGATTGCGATCTCTTTGAGTGATCTCCAGTCTATGAAGGGCTCATGCAAGGCTCTTAATGAAGAGACTTGGGACATGTACCTTGATTCAACCAGCGCATATCTAACAATAATGTGGAACAGTTCACCGACTTTCCTGCTGCGTAGCGGCCTGATCCTCTCCTTCGAATCCCCCTTGCCTGAGATAGTTATCCACCAGCGCGGCCTCAGTGCGACTCCGAATCTCGTCCAGCGCCGGCTGTGCGGTTAGCCAACTCGCCACGAGCATACTCTTCATCTGCCAGGTCGAGCTGAACCGTCTGGCATTGTACCAATCAAGGTTGTGGCGTCCGAGCTCCGGTTTCCAGGGGAAGTTGGCGATCAGGTGGAGGCGCAAGATGGCCGGGTAGTTGTCCAGCTGCAGCAGGGATTCTTTCACGGCAACAATGTACCATCTGGTACTTCCTAGTACGAATCCTAATGAGGATCCGACGATGAAGGGTAGTGCGGCGGTGCCCCAGATGCTACTTCCAACGATAGCAGCTGAGAGTCCGAGGACAGCGGCTGTTGACGTGCCTGCTAGCATGCTCCGGAGCATGCTGAGGTAATGTTAGCTGTGAACGTCTGTCAAGAGACATGCGGTGCATACAGAAGTCCCGGGCCACTGTTGAAAATTAGCTAAGCTTGAATATGAGGAAGAGAGAGTGGTAGAACAAACTTGACATTGCCCCATCCGCCCAATATCCTCAACAAGTTGAAGTGAGGTTGCGCATTGGCGGTGTACTCGTTGACCTTTGGAGATGATTAGCAGAGCCTTCCTATTGAGGGCAAACAGAAATATATACTTACCGCATATTCTTGGACCGACATTTTGATGTGCAGTCTGCAAAAGTCCGTCGAGACATCGAGACACGAGTAGGATCATCACAGGAGAATGTTGATTGAAAACATCATTGTTTGATCTTAGTTCGGGCCCAGTCTTCTTAGTCAGCCGCCTGCCGCATCATGTCATTGGTCGATGCGGCAAAATCTCGGGCGCCAGCTCCGTGAATCGGTAGGTCCACCCCGGCCGTGCCTCGGCTCCGCAGTCCAGGGCCCGGCATAACTATCTAACCTGCCAAAGTACTAGCGTTATTGCCTTGTCGGCAGTTGATTCAAAGTTAATTCACAGAAGTATATGGAACAATAGCCACACAGTTATCAGTGTTCCTGCAGATCTGTCGAGTAACACATCCATGATATTGAAGTCCATATTTAAGTTAAGAGTTACCCGGGGATATATGACAGTATGAGCGGTTCCATGTAGTAGCCGCATATCTTGAAATATATGAGTGATTGAACTTTCCACTCCATTTGACCAGCACAGAATCTTAGACTATGCATTCAAAAAGCACATCGTCTCTAGAACTGGATGATGCTTCACAAAAATAGGCCGTGGATTTGATCAAGATTGGACATACATTGAGTAAGTCCACTACTAGCCAGGCTATTTTAATGACGATGGTTTCCATTCCAAATCAAGAGCAAAGCAAGTAATCACAGCATGTGTAAGCCGCACAAAGATGGTGACGACGAGGTCTGATTTTTTTTTTTCCAGTGTCTAAAAGCTAGAGTGCAGTCAGGCTAGAGGCCTGCTGTGAAGTTGGAGCAGCCACCAGGAGGGGTGTTGTGGCAGAATGACCACATGGACTAATTCTGCTACTTGCCAGACGCGTTTCAGCCTTGAGAAGAGGAGCCTGCTCGATCAATTTCCATGAAAACTTCCTGCCTAGGCGTTCTTGGCTCGGCCTCTGCTGCGGCCCTGTCTGCTGCCTCTGCGGCCTGTCTTGCCCTCCTCTCTAGCATGAGGTCTATCGCAATTCGGGTATTCACGGCCCTCGTGTATGCTCGTATTTCTTTATCTACTGGCTCCCTGCGCTCCTTTTCGATGAGCCCGGGGGGCTCTAGAATCAGGAACTTTCTCCTGGCTGGGTCTGGCTCCCAAGCTTCCATCTGTTCAGGGGTGGCTTTGACGATGCACCAATGGCAAGGATAATCTCGCGTGACCATAGTTTCCGGCTTGGGGTTGAAGCACTGTTTATTGGTATCATTTCGAGTGTCATGGCATTCGTTGTTGACGTATTTCTGCTGTCTCCCGCAGCATTTGGGCCAGCAGACGAGGTTGATGGAACACATGTTGAGATGCCGACGAGCTTGATGAGCCAAAAGCGAAGAGGCTAAGCGACATGGTGAGTATTGCTGATTTCTGCTCTTTTTTTTATTTTAGCTGCGTGATAGATTTTAAAGCTTACTGGTATTATGTGTTGAAGCTGAGTTCTTTCGTAGACTTGACTGTGTTTGATGGATGAGGGTGTTGACACAGAGTTGGGGCTTCAGAAGAGTCCCATGAGCTATAGTTTTATACTCGAAATATGAGGTAATGAGCTTCGTATCACGATTTCGAGAGGTTTGTTTCAATGATTTTTCCAGAGATTGTTCAGCTCATCAACATCTAGCTATCGCCGTGGATGGCATTTCATCCTCCTGTACTACCGCCGTGCCTTGATGGTTGGCGCAACGACAAGGAATTGAGTGCTTCAATCTCCCCATTTCGTTTTCTTACGCGAATGGATGGGAATGAGCTTTGAAGTTGGCCTTTAGGCGTGTAGCGTAAGTGTTCAGAGATTTTTAGTAAGTATTACGAGGTAATTTGACGCTGCAAAAGAGGAGTGCTTGTAGGCGGGAGGTCAAGAACAGCGTGCATTGTCGACCTTGTTCTCTCTCTCTCCCTACAAATCTTTACCAAACATTGATCAGGTAGCACCAATCAAAAGCATGATTGGTAGCTTGCAAGCTCTGGCCAGCGCCAAATTTAGTTGCCAGAAGGAACGTTGATTACCGAACAACGACGCCTGCGCAGTGCCCCGCCACCGTTGTCCGTCCCGCCGATGCTCCAGGTACGGAGCGCCGCACTAACAAAGGAGCGGAACCATCGGCCATCCCAGGAAACATGAGGCAATGCGAACTGAATCCAATTGAGATAGCGTTTCAAAAGCCTGCTGATCTCGTCCAGTCTTTGCGAGGAAGGGTTTACCGCACTGTGGTTGGTGACACCGCACGTCGAAAGCACTCTATCATTGAGATGCCTTGTAGAATGAAGAGCCTGTGTGTGCACTTGGCATAGAAGCTGCCTAAACCACCGCTAACGCCACAGCACTGAGGCGCGACGCCGCAAATGAACAGAGCACAACATTCCTTGACGAACACCTTATTTTTGGTACCTGCATGCAGGTATACTAGCACCTCTGGTCGTTCCACTCTTGCTGAGCAAATTTGACAGACGCAAGCTGAAGCTGACATCGTCCGATCGGTGACGGACTTTTTGGGGATGACCGAAATCATACCGGCTGCAAAGACCCCACCATCGGTTCTTTCTCCCACCCGCCTCGGTCCCGAGCCTGCCACCCTGCCCGACTAATCCTCCTAAGCTTTCCTACGTCAGCTTCAGCGTCCCTTTTTAAACTACTGTCGCCCTGCAGCATTCCATAGTGTAGCTAGCAGTGTTTTGTTTACATCATTTTGCATCAGTGCACACCTGCATATCGTCTCTACACGTATCATTCTTAATCAATTGAAGATGGCATCAGTGACATTACGCCGTGTTCGACCGGCGACCATCGCGGCTACCGTTGCAGCGGGAGGCATTGGCCTGGCGGCGTACTCGAGGTTGTTCATGAACAAGGCGTCTGCCGAGTCTGGAGCACCGCCAAAGGTGTTTGGTGCGGGGCCTGCGTTTGTGTCGCTTGCGCTGGAGAGCTCGGAGGATGTGAACCACAACACCAAGCGATTGCGCTTCAAGTTACCACAGAGGGAGGCAGTCAGCGGTCTTTCATTGACATGTGAGTGTTCGCGGTCACCTGAGCTTCAAGGAAAAGAAAGTTGCTGATGTTCGAGAACAGCTGCCGTCCTGACCATGTCATGGCCTGAGGGCAGGTGGCTTCCCGTGGCTAGGCCTTACACGCCCGTGCAACCTCTCGGTAAGAACAAGAGTCATTCCCCAAAGGCCATCAATTGCATCCCGGGCATGAAATGCTAACCGAACAAACAGATGACACCGGATACCTCGAACTCATGGTAAAGAAGTACCCAGACGGCAAGCAGAGCACACACATCCACTCCCTCACACCAGGCCAAAAGCTCCTCTTCGCCCTCGCCATAAAGGGCCACCAATGGAAGCCCAACAGCTACAACCACATCACCCTCATCGCCGGCGGCGCAGGCATCACGCCGATCTACCAGCTCGCGCAGGGCATTCTCCGCAACCCGGAGGACAAGACGGCCATCACGCTCGTCTTTGGCGTCAACTCGGACCAGGATGTGCTCTTGAAGCAGGAATTTGAGCAGTTTGAAAAGGAGTTCCCCGACAGGTTCAAGGCCGTGTACACGGTGAGCAACCCAGTGGCAAATTCGCCGTATCGAAAGGGGTATGTGACGAAGCAGTTGTTGGAGGAGGTCGGGGTTGCGCCGAAGAGGGAGGAGGATACAAAAGTGTTTGTGTGCGGTCCGCCGGCGATGGAGGCGGCTCTTGTGGGGAAGAGGAGTGCGCCGGGGGTGTTGCAGCAGTTGGGGTATCGGAAGGATCAGATTCACCAGTTCTAGAGAGTCAATTGGGGGCTTTGCCTAGATGTACGTTACAGAGGACTCGGGGGTAGGTTGAAAAAAGATCAATTTCTTCAAAAGTTTGCGAGTTTTGCCGCGAGAACAGAGAGAAAGAACTACAGAACCTGACGGAGAGCTCGGGATCGCTGCGACTCTCAAGAGCCTCAGAGCGGCTAGAGAACGAGGCTACTATAAGCCCGGTCTGGGGACAAAACCTCAACAATTCAAATGACCCGCCTTGCTAGCTCAATCGGTAGAGCGTGAGACTCTTAATCTCAAGGTTGCGGGTTCGACCCCCGCGTGAGGCTCAAATCCTCACCGCGATTGGCTAAGCCACTCTTCGGGTTATCTTTTTTCACTTTTTCTACCTCTTTACATGGTACCAGACTCACCCTTGTGCGGTGGCAGCTTGAGGCTGAGGCTGCGCAACATGCCTCTCTAGATAGAAGAAGATTTTTCTTTGGGAGAGAGGACTTTACTCCGTAGCACCAACCTTGTAGAGAAAGTGGAGAAGTTGTCGGCGTCAGTATCTGAGCTGATCATTGCGACAATGCCCGCATTTACGTGTGTGTGCTCATCAAGTGAGCTATCCATAGGCTCTTTATTGCCAAGTTTGAACTTGGTGTCTGTCAGCCTTGCTGATATCCGAAACTTTCCTTATATACAGGAGAAATCTTATCTCCCTAAGTAGATACATCTTTGAACGAGAACTTTCACCGGCTTTCTCATGTCCATTGCTCACAACCCTCTCACCAATGCCATTCAAGACCCAAAAACCTACTAAGAATTGCAATGGGACACGCAACAGAGGATATTCGCGATTCAAGCTTCACGTATCTCTTCAAATGTCATCTATAAGTCGCCATGCCAATCATCAACCGAAATCAACAATTTGTCCCGTCATCTCCGGGACATTTCTCTTCAAAGTCCTCCCACAATGAAACCCAACCGCACACCATGATTCGTTGACGTAATGCACAACCCCCCACAAAAAAGTTCTCCATCACTCAGCCACCTCTGTCTGTACATATCCCTTTCCTTTCCGCCCATCAATCAACCTCACCACCACAACCGTAAGCTTCTCATCACCCCCACACACACACCTCAATCATCTAACGATGGACTAACAAAGGCGAAGATGGAGCAATTCGGCCTCTCAGCAGCGCACTCGGGCGCCATAAACCACATCCACGCCATCCACTTCGGGACCGCTGCCGTGGACGTCGTCAGGGAGATCCGGCTGGCTGTCACTGTTGTCGTTATCGGATGGGTTGCTGTCACGGGGATCAGGACGATATTCACTCGAGAACGGCGTTGAGTAGAGGTATGCTGACTTGACGAGGAGTGAAGTCGGCGGGTGAGGCGGAGCCGCGAGAAGGAAGCTCGTTGCTGGGGGGTTACGAGATTTGGGCCCTCTAGAACAGCTCAAAAAAGCTGTGATTTGTACAAAAGAATAAAGAAGAAGAAAAAACAGAAGAAGATTTGATGAGAAAACCTCGATTCCTTTCTGGGGATCTGTATCTGTATCAACAAGTAAACACCCTTGATTGCCACTTTCCGCGTGCACTTTTCCACATCTCCAAAAAACTACTCGCGGTTCCCAGCAATCCCCAGACTTCAGTCGTCGACCTCAACAGCCCGCACTTTCACAGCCTCCAAAGTTAAAACATTGTTCACGCCGCGGCCAGACTACGCCGGCGGAAAATGCAAAAACCTCTGACAGCACCACGCCCCCGTCCCCGAAGCACAAGCCTGTGCCGCGCCAGCGCTCGTGTCATTTGCCTTCTTCGTCCACCCTTCTGGGCAAGCGCCGTCGCAAAAGGCCTGGCAGATTTCGGCGTTGGGGTCTGCCGCCAAAGAGTCTTGGTGTAATTTTCGTTTAGTGATAGATCACGGGTGCCCATTTAATCCATTTTCTGCGGTGTGATGTTCCAGGAGGAGGGAGTGGGTGAACCTACCGAGGGGAATGGCTAATGCCACAGCCATGAGGCTCCATAACACGATCGCGGAGTTCTTCATATCTGGCTTGTGATGAGGAGTTACTGTGATGTGTCGTGATTGAATCCTTTCATGATGAGTCTGGCATACGTGTTTTTTAAAAAGCAGAGAATGAACAACTACTCGGCAGTTGATGGGTGATGTCAAAATAAGCTACATCTTCTGTCAACCCTTAATCACAGTGAAACATGGGACAATCAAAGAAAAGAAAAAGACGCCTGCGGACAGTAATGTAATTATAGAGCACCTCTTAGCAGGAGACAAAGATAAATAAAGCAGTACTCCCTGAAACTCGCATGAGCGAACCAACGATCTCGGGTTGGCCCGCGCGGACGGGAGGCCCTTTGTTCGCGATCCCAGCGTCATCCTTGCTGCGGCGGCGCGCTTACGGGTTGTCTACAAGAACATCTGAAACTTCAAATACCGCAAGCACAGGTGTCAGTCCCGCAGAACTCGAAGAGTCTATTTGGGGCTGCTGCCAGTTTTCCCTTGGACATCAGTGGAATACACATTACTATCATCACAGAGCGAGATTCGAGGGCATAGAAGAGGTCCCAAGGAAAAGATTGATCTTGAAAATGGTTGTAATTGCTAGTCATCTGAGTAACTTGCATCTGTACTATGAAAGAATGCCTCGTCATGCAACTCGTGAAAGTCCCTCGTCTCAGCTACCGAATCCTTGTAAATACATGTCCCATGGTTTACCCATCATCCAGTCATGATCCATTCCCAGTCATATCCCATCCCAATTATTTTTTGTATGTACCCATATCCACCCACCAAAAGAGTGTCTGGAACCAGCCCAAGCGACTCTTTTCAAAACGCCAAGATAAAAGCAGACGGAGAGATAATTCCAAAAAAGAAGGCAGAAAAAACAATTCAGCAAGCACCATACCGCACACCTCGCTTACCCAACTCCTTTCTACCAACGGGGTCCTCGGGCATAACCCAGCCTCTAGCCCTCTTGGCTTCACGCTTTTCTGCCAACTGCGGCTTGGGCATCCACTCATCCCTAGGCAGCGCCTTGCGTCGGGTACCCTCAGCAGGTGCGCCAATCTCCGTCTTCCAGTGCGCCACGGCCCCGCGGCCCTGCTGCTGAGGGGCGTCATCGCCAGCCATCATGCAGAGACCCCAGAGCGCAAGGCAGGCAGTCAGCGGGATCTCGCCAACCTCGCAGTCGGCATCGTCAGCGACGGCGGCAAGCTGAACGGAGGTGACTTCGAGGTGACCAAAGTGGGGGACGGACTCGCTGCCGTTGCGAACGACGACGAGCTCAATCTCGGTGAGGATGAAGCCGTAGCGGCACGAGTGCTCGCGCATGGCGTGGTGCAGGGCGGCGAGGCCGCGGAGGTACTCTACGCGCTTGATGTTGCCCTCGACACGCATGCCGGTGTTGAAGCGGTCAAAGGAGCGGACGAGACCGACGACGCGGGCGGTGGGCTTGCCGCCAAAGATGGTGGCTGCGGAGGCGGGTTCGCCGGCGGGAGAGGCGGTGAAGAGGAGCTCGGGCTGCTTTGCGGTAGCAGAGGGGGCGGGAGCGGAGAGCTGCATGGGTCTGTGGGAAGAGATGGCGAGCGCGGCGTTGAGCTTGGGGAGGTAGTGAGAGGCGTAGATGCTGTGAAGAGCGGCTTCGGTCTCTGGGTGGCGGGCAGTCGGGGCCGGGTTGGGGAGGAGGGGTGCCGGGACGGGGCAGTTGAGAAGGGCGGCGGCACCGGGGAGAGAGAGGACGGAGGAGGCGTTGAAGGTTGTCCAGGGGCGGATTTGGCGAATGTCCCACCAAAAGTGCTTGGTGTTGGGGTCCCGAAGAGGGAACGAGATGGTACGCACCAGTGAAGGAGCAGGGTTGGATCCGGTGAGGTAAGTCATGAGAGTGGTGCTGGGAGTCGGGTCCGGAGTAGCAGCGGCGGACAGGCTGAGGGGAGACGGCGCACGAGGAGTGTAGGAGGGGAACATGTATGCCTCTGATGGCTGCTGAGGAGCAGGAGAGGGAACGTATGAGGGCATCTGACGGTAGGTCGGGAAGCCGAACTTCTCGAGGGCAACACCCTCAAGACTGCAGGTTGACGCGCGGCGAGATTGCATATCATCGGCGAAGATGACGGGAGAGCAGAGAAGAGATGAAGGGGTCTGCTCCTCGGGCTGGCTGCAGTAGGAAGAGGGCATGTTCCATGTGAGAGTCTCCGGGTTGGTGAAGCTGCGGGTGTGAGCCGGGCGGAAGACGGCGTTGGTGGTGGGGGCCACGGGAGTTGCCCGTCTTGGGACCGGGGCGCGGGGCTTTGGTGAGGCCTTGATACGCTTAGGAGGCGACTCGATGGCTTGGTCCTGGGAGCGGATCTTGGGAAGCAAGAGAGGACCGTGTTGGCGGATCGGAGGTGAGGCACGAGACGGGGTCGTCATGCGTGTGCTCACCGAGTCCGGTGTGGAGTCTGCGGCAGAGATGAAGGAGTAGACGGAACCATTTGAGCGAGAGCGGTTGTGGCCCGGGTTGTGGTGGTAGGGGAGGTCGAGGAGAGAAGAGTCGAAGGAGAAACTCGGCGGCGTGGAGGGCTCGCACGAGGGAAAGATGAAGTCGAAGGACATATCCGCTGCCAGACTAGGGGTTGATGATGTGTTAGTGGGGGTGTAAGTGAGGTGAGAAGCAGGGGGCATCTCATACGTGGACATTGTGACTGTGTGAGTTGGTTGGATTATGGGATTATGAGAGGTGTTTCGTGAGAGAGAGGAGGCCAGCTCCAGGAGTTCTTTGGCGTTTGAGGATTGCGTTGCGATGAGAAAAGCAGACGGGGGTTGCTGTGAAGCAGGGACGAGGTGGCCGCGTTCAACGAGACCAGGGCGTTCCGAGAGATCTAGGTGTATAACTTTTTTGATTTGGTATCCAGATGATGCGAGTTATAGTAAATAAACAAAGGTCGACTTGATAACAACTTTAGACTGAGACGAGGATGAGAGGACGAGAGCGCAAAGGAGACGAGCAGATGAGGAGACGAGATGAGGATGGAGAG